GACACTCTTTCAGTTATTTAAAAATGTACAATTAAGTCATTATTGACTATAGTCACCCTATTGTGCTATCAAATAGTAGGTTTTATTCATTTTTTTAAACGATTTTTTTGTACCCATTAACCACCCCTACCACCAAGGAATAGTTGTATCATGATTTAATGATCTTCTTTGAATAGACATGGGTGTTTCTAACTGTTTTGCTGTCATAACCAGTGCTACAAGGAACATCCTTCCTTGAACATGCCCCTTTAAGCACAATATTTCTCCAGGGTGGATAACCAAATGTGAACTTGCAAAGGAGATGCTTAATTTTTAAGTACAGAAAAATGGCTGTTCTCAGTTCTTCATTTTGACTAAATTGTAAATGAAATTTTTAAAGAGTGCTACCTTTCAGCAAAAGAAACTACTGTCAGAGTGAACAGGCAACCTACAGAATGGGAGAACATTTTTGCAATCTACTCATCTGACAAAGAACTAATATCCAGAACCTACAAAGAACTCAAACAAATTTACAAGAAAAAACCAAACAACCCCATCAAAAAGTGGGCAAAGGATATGAACAGACACTTCTCAAAAGAAGACATTCATACAGCCAACAGACACATGAAAAAATGCTCATCATCACTGGCCATCAGAGAAATGCAAATCAAAACCACAATGAGATAAAACTACAATGAGACTACCATCTCACACCAGTTAGAAATGCATGATCATTCAAAAGTCAGGAACAACAGGTGCTGGAGAGGATGTGGAGAAATAGGAACACTTTAGCACTGTTGGTGGCGGTAAACTGTTAGTTCAACCATTATGGGAAACAGTATGGCGATTCCTCAAGGATCTTGAACTAGATGTACCATATGACCCAGCCATCCCATTACTGGGTATACTCCAAAGACAGGTAAATCACGCCACATAAAGACACATGCACACGCATGTTTATTGTGGCACTATTCCACAAGAGTGAAGACTTAGAATCAACCCAAATGTCCATCAGTGACAGACTGGATTAAGAAAATGTGGCACATATACACCATGGAATACTATGCAGCCATAGAAAAGGATGAGTTCATGTCCTTTGTAGGGACATGGATACAGCTGGAAACCATCATTCTTAGCAAACCATCGCAAGAATAGAAAACCAAACACTGCATGTTCTCACTCATAGGTGGGAATTGAACAACGAGATTACTTGGACACGGGAAGGGGAACATCACACACCGGGGCCTATTGTGGGGAGGGGGATGGGGGGAGGGATGGCATTGGGAGTTATACCTGATGTAAATGACGAGTTGATGGGTGCTGATGAGTTGATGGGTGCAGCACACCAATGTGGCACATGTATACATATGTAACAATCCTGCACGTTGTGCACATGTACCCTAGAACTTAAAGTATATATAAAAAAAGAGTGCTACCTTTTCCAAGAGTTTACTCACTGCAGCAGTGATAACATCTCTTTTTTCCTTTTTTTAAATTTATTTTTTATTTCAATAGGTTTTTAGGGAGCAGGTGGTATTTGGTTACATGAATAAGTTTTTTAGTGGTGATTTCTGAGATTTTAGTGCACCCATCACCCAAGCAGTGTATACTGTACTCAGTGTGTAGTCTTTTATCCCTCACCCCCACCACCCTTTCAGTGATAACATCCTTAAACGATAGTCATTCGGTCCGTGTTCTCCAAAGGGTGAGCCTCAAATCTACCAGAAGTACCTGAGGGTGCTTATTAAAATACATATTCCTGAGTCCCACCCACTGATTTAGAATCTCTGAAGGTATGTCCCAGGAATCTACTTTTTTTTTTTGAGATAGGGTTTCATTCTGTTGCCCAGGCTGGAGTGCAGTGGTGTAAACACGGCTCACTACAACCTCTACCTTCTGGGCTCATGCTCTCTCCCATCTCAGCCTACCTTAGTAGCTGGGACTACAGAGGCATCACCACTCTTGGCAATTTTTTATTTTTATTTTTTGTAGAGACAGTTGTTTTACCATGCTGTCCAGGCTGCTCTCAAACTCTTGGGCTCAAGCGATCCTTCTGCCTCTATCTACCAAGTGTTGGGATTACAGATGTAACCTACTGTGCCTGGCCCCAGAAATCTATCTACTTTTAAACAATTTCAAAGTTATTTTACAGAGCACAAATTTTTGATGTTACCAGCTGAAGAGAATTTCATAGTGGATTGTTATGAGTATTAAAACCTGGAATACAGAATATCATAAACAGATGTTAGATATTTAATGGGAATTTGAAAATAATATTGTACTTTCTAAGGTTTTCTGAAATCATACAATAGGAGGCAGTGTAATGTGGTGGTTGAGTTTGGGCTCTCAAGTTGGATGGCTGCTGTCTCAGTTTGTTTTCTGTTGCTTATAACAGAATACCTGAAACTGGGTCACTTAATTATTAGTTTGTTTGTTTTTTAATTAATTTATTTTTTGGAGACAAAGTCTAGCTCTGTCTCCCAGGCTGGAGTATAGTGGCGCAATCTTGGCTCACTGCAACCTATACCTCCTTAGTTCAAGCGATTCTCCTGCCTCAGCCTCCCAAAAAGTTGGGATTACAGGTGTGCACCACCATGCCTGGCTAATTTTTTTGTATTTTTAGTAGAGATGGGGTTTCACCATGTTGGCCAAACTGGTCTTGAACTCCTGGCTTCAAGAGATCTGACCGCTTCGGCCTCCAAAAGTGCTGGGATTACAGGTGTGAGCCATCGCACCAGGCCTGGGTTATTTATTTATTTATTTAGTTTTTGAGACAGGGCCTCACTCTGTCACTCAGGCTGGAGTGCCGTGGCACAGTCTTGGTTCACTACAACCTCCGCTTCCCAGGTTCAAGTGATCGATCCTCCCACCTCAGCTTCCCGAGTAACTGGGACTACAAGCCCATACCACCATACCCAGCTAATTTTTGTATTTTTAGTAGAGACAGGGTTTTGCCATGCTGGTTAGGCTGTGGGTAATTTATTTTAAAAAAGAAATTTATTTTTTGCAGTTATGGATGCTGTGAAGTCCAAGGTTAAGGGACTGCCTCTGGGTTGCATCTGAACTTCTTGCTGGAGGGGACTCCCTGTGATGTTCCAAGGCATGGCAGGAAATCACATGGCCAGGAGGCTGAGACTGCTAACATGCTATCCTTAAGTCTCTTTTCCTTTTCTTTAAGGCCACTAGTTCCCCTCCCATGATAACCTATTAATCCATGAATAGATTAATTTATTCATGAGGGCAGAGCCCTCATAATCCAGTCACCTCTTGAAGGCCCCACTTCTAATGAGGATTAAGTTTCAGCCACTTTAGGGATTAAATTTCAACGTGAACTTTGAAGGGGACATTCAAACCATAATAACTGAGATCTGAATCCTGATTTTACCACTTGCTAACCAGACAAATTTCTTAATCTCTATAACTCTGTTTCCTTTGTTTTTTTTTTTTTGTTTTTGTTTTTGGTAAAATAGTTATAATGAAAGTGCTTACATTCTTGGGTTAATGTGAAGATTAAACAACGTAATGAATATCAAGTGCTTAGCATCATTCCTGGTTTATAGTAAACATTCAAGAAATGTTTTGACTCTAGAGGTTACAATAAATCAATTATGAAACAACAAAGTAGCATTTGATGCTAAATGTTGGGAAATTTGGGGCAGGTAAACTCTAAAATGGATAGGAATAGGTAATTTCTAGTAAGGTGGAAGCAGGGTGGATAGGATGAAATGATTAAAAAATGAGAACTACTATGAGTTAGAGTTGTATCATTTCTTCATATACCTTTAATTTTTATACTTCAAATATTTGCACATTACATGTATATTTGTATATATAACATATATTTGTATATGTATTCCCTATTATATATTATATTAGTATTTATTAAGAATAATGATGAATATTGTGCCAGGGAGTCCTCTAATTATGGCTTAAAAAGACATCTTTCAGCTTGGGGCAACATGGCGAAACCCCATCTCTGCAAAAAATACAAAAATTAGCTGGGTGTGGTGGTGCATGCCTGTAATCCCAGCTACTTAGTGGGGTACTGAGGCAGGAGGATCACTTGAACCCGAGAGGTCAAGGCTGCAGTGAGTCAAGATTGCACCACTGCACTCCAGCCTGGGACACAAAGTGAGACCCTGTTTCAAAAAAAAAAAAATTTTTTTTTAACAGACTAAGAACCTATACTTTAACTGGAGGGCAATGTGAGGAGTCAAAATAATTGATTAATCAATTATTTTGTCTTTTTATGTCTTCAGCACTGAAAGTCATTGTTTTGGTCTGGAGATGTATAAAACGTACACTTTGCTCTCTAGTTGTTTATAGCCTACTTGGGAAGATAAACCTAACAAGAAATATGTAATAACAATAATAACAGCTAACATTGTTGAGTACTGTGTACTGGGCATTGTACTGAGTACATTATATAAATTATTTTACTTAATCCTCACAATAATCAGAGTAGGAAGATTTCATCTTTTTTCCCTCTTTTTATAGTTGAGGGAACTGAGGCTTAGATGTGTGCAAATAAGTGGCAAGTTCAGATTCAAAATCAGCTAAATTTTATTTGAAACCTAAAACACTTAACCATCTACTGTTTTTCTACTAAGCCTGTTAGTTCGAAGATTACCTGAAGGTAAATTTTATCAGGACAGCTTTGGATCTGGGGGGAAAAATGAAGGTAAATTTTAACTTGAATCATCTAGACCGTTTATAATGGAATCTGTTGCCTAGCATAAATTAACCATGTTGAGGTCACAAAGGATACGAAATTACTCTTAAGGGATGAAAATTCTTTGGAATAGAATACAGTAGGCCCACGCAAACAAGAATGTGTATAAAATTAGCCTGTTTTTGCCTAAGTACATTAACTCAAAAGGAAACTTGGTTTAAGAAGTTCACTCTAAAAATAGTGCAAGAAGCATCACTGGTCCATAGAGAGGGGTGGAGTGGGTTACGTCATTTCAGCACCTTTTAAGGTAAAGGAGGAGGGAATCCTCTTGAACTCATTAGCCAATCAGGTTCTGAAGACACTTCCCAAGGCGACTTCCTGTCTCTCCAGTTTCTTTCCCTCTCCGTTTTGGTGGGCTGGTGAGTGTGCACTTAATTTTGCTCTCTAATTGTTTTGAATTTCTCTTCCATTTGAGTTATATACCCAGGTGGCAGGCCTTTATTTCAAGTCGGCATTGCAGTGTGTGTGAGTCGCAAGGAGGTTAATGTCGGCTGTGTGGAGGTTGGGAGAAGGCAGTGAAATGCTCTGCCTGGCTTGTTTCCACGTGGGCCTCTGCAGTACTGGGGTTTGCCTTCCATCTCCGTGTCCTGGTGACCCAGGAACAATAGACTGTGCTTCATGTGCATAGTGGGTCTGTTCTTGGAAAACGCCGACTTCATTTTGCTTTGAGGGAAAGATATTATCATCCCAATGCTGTTTTGATTTATATCTCTCTGGGTGAGGTCAGATCTCGGGAGAAGGCGTTCAGCTCAGTAGATTTTAATTCTCCGGTGAGTGTCTAGAGGGCCCAGGTCCTTACTGGGTTTGTGGAAACTGTAGCGGACCTTGTCTTTCCCCCGGCCTTTGCTCAGATCATTTCGGCTTTCTTGGTGAACCTGGACAGCAAACTCTGAAGACAGATAAGCCGTAAGAGGAGCTGCTAATTTTTAATGTTGCCACTGTGGTGAGTGTGTCCTTAAAAGCTATGGAACAAGATCAGGGACCTTAGTTTAGGGCAAGCCTCTAGATTCAAATTCCAGCGCCACAGTTTACAGCTCTGGTGACCTTGGGAGAAGCAGTGAGCCATTCCGAGGCTTAGCTTTCCAAGATCAGATAAAATATATAAAAACTAGGCTCTAGTTGGTATGTAATAAATGTTAGGTACCTTTAGAAGTAAGCAGTACTTATTTATTTACAGTAAGTATTTTGGATATCTGTTTTCTCATAAAAAGTTTTGCCTAGTGACCTTGAATGTAATTTCACTGAATTCCTTTCTTTTGATACATGTTAATTTTTATATGATGTATGTGTTGGAAATCCATACAGGCAGAACGTGTGAGAAAGACAAATAATAAACCAGTTAATCGAATGTAGTAATAGGTATCTGTAGGCCTCCCATAATTTTTATAATTCTCAAGCATTGTTAAAATTTATTTTTTGGGGCGCGGTGGCGCAAGCCTGTAATCCCAGCTACTTGGGAGGCTGAGGCAGGAGAATCGCTTGAACCTGGGAGGTGGAGGTTGCGGTGAGCCGAGATGGCGCCATTGCACTCCAGCATGGGCAATAATAGCAAAACTCTGTCTCAAAAAAAAAAAAAAATGTGTATATATATTTGAATACTATATATATATATTTGAATACATATATATACATATATATATTTTTTGAATAGGTAATACATTCACATGATTCAAAATTCAAAAGATGTCAAAGTTTCTTATCCCCTTCCCTAAGCCATCCAATTCCTCTCCCTCATAACAGTGTTACTAAAATATTTTATGCATATAAGCAGATATGTGTGGGTATCCTTCCCTTTTACTGTACCTACTCTACTCTGTGTCTTACTTTTTCCACTTAAGTTCCATGAGTAGAGTGTCCACATTCCTTATAATGGTCACATAGTATTCTTTAAAAATTATTTTTTTTAAAAGATATATTTTTTGTTTCAGTAGATTTTCTGGGTAAACTAACTCCATCTCAAAAAAATAAAAAATAAAAAAAGACCCATTATCTTGGAGTTGGAAGGGCCCTTATGAAGTACTATATGAGTGACCTTTCTGGCTTCTGGGTTATTGTGAGAAGTGTGACTTTTTGTTGTTAAATTTGTTTTTATTGTAGATTCATGGGGTACATGTGCAGGTTTGTTACAGGGTATATATTGCATGATGCTGAGGTTTGGGCTTCTATTGATCCTGCCATCTAGGTCGTAAACATTGTACCCAATAGGAAGTTTTGCAGTTCTTGCCCCTCTCTCTCCTTTCCTCCTTTTGGAGTACCTAGTGTCTATTGTTCCCAACCTTATGTCCCTGTGAACCCAGTATTTAGCTCCCTACCCAAGATTTAACTCCCACTTACAAGTGAGAACATGCAATACTTGGTTTTCTGTTTCTGCGTAAATTTGTTTAGGATAATGGCCTCTAGCAGCATCCAACAGCTCTAGTTGTTGCAAAGGACATGATTTAAAAAAAAATTTTTTTTTAAATGGCTGTGGAAAAGTGTGAAATTTTTAGGCAGAATATTTGCCTTTCTGCTCACTAGCTGCTTGAGCTTGGGCAAGACATAAAAATAACATATTAAACATTTAACACCATGCCAGCTACAGTGCAAAGTGTATTTATTACCTCGGTCTTCACAGAAGTTTTAAGAAGTATGTAGTATTTGTTCTCATTTTAAAGAGGGGACAGCTGAGGTTTAGAGAAGTTGCATAACTTACCCATGGGCACAGCAAATACATGAGAGAACCAGGATTAAAATCTAGTTTTGTATGATTTCAAAATCTATTATTTTAGGGAATATTAATTAGTGCAACTATTATGGAAAATAGTATGGAAATTTCTCAAAAAAATTAAAAATAGAGCTACCATATAATCCAGAAATCCCATTTCTGGGTATATTCAAAGGAAATAAAATTAGTGTGTCAGAGATATCTGTACTCCCATGTTCATTGCATCATTATTCACAAAAGCCAAGATGTGGAATTGACCTAAGGGTCCATCAACAGATGAATGGATAAAGCAAATATGATACATATGTACAGTGGAATACTATTCTGCCTTAAAAAGGAAGGAAACTCTGATAGTGAGTGGGAATTAAAACTTGGAGTCTGTTCTGATAGCAGTACCTTATATAACTATCTCTAAAGGAAAACTATGCCAAGCTATCAGTTTAGTATTTACTTCGTATGAACAAAATTTTGTGTTTTCATTTTGTTTCAGGTTGAAGATGAAATCCACTGAGGAGGGAAGTCCAGCACCCTGTGTGCCAGTCCAGAACTGGCCCATCTGTAGACCCCCTGAAAATCATGGGCTTGGATTTGGATATTCTCAACAGAAAGGGTTAAAGGCTGATGGGACCAAGCCTGGTACTTGAATTTTGATCACATAAGCTGCCTTAAGTTCTCTTTATTACATGTATGTGTGTCTTTTCTATCTAAAAAGCCTAGCCTAGAGATTCTTTGAGTTACCATCGTATCCTATAATGCTAGGTGGCACTGAGTAGAATAGAGTCAAATGGAATGGTAATGAAATCTTAACACAAGTATCTGCTGATTTAGTATCAATTTGTAGTTTGTATTAGGCCTTCATGAAGCATCTGTTCACACATATAAAATGTACTTTTTGGCTATGAACACTAGTACTTTGAAGTGATTACTGCCCACAGTCAACAAAATGCTGGAATCATTGATTGTTTATGGAGCATTTCCAAAATACTTAGTAAATACGAAATGTCCTTTGTATGTTGGAATGACACTTGTTGAAGCATGCATGACTAGAATCCTGCAGGGGGCATCACCCATTGGGAAAGGTATCCCATATTTAACATCAGGATTTATGTGCCAGGCTTTGTGCTGTGTGTCAAAACAAAAAGACCGGGCCTCTTGCAATCTGGGTTTTGTGTGTGAGTTGAGATTAATAGAGAAGTTGTTCCTTTCAACCTATAATTATTATCCTGTAAGAATACTTAGATCAGGTAGTTTTTTTTTTTTATTTCCTTTTTAAAAAAATTGATTTTAGGTTTGGAGAGATCAAGGAGTTTTAAGGTAGACATTGTTAAAACTGTAGAAACCTTTCACACCATGTCTTGCTTCTTGTCTTCATTCTCTTAGTTAACCTTGAATCCTGCTGATCTGAAAACATTTTACATAGTTAAAGCATTATAGAAATGTAGGGCAAGGAAGGAGTAAAATAACATTTTGATCATATCTGTCTGAGATATTTAAAATGCTTCAGTTTCTTTCCAACCTTCTGAGCTAGCTAGCATGTCACTGCATTACATTTTAAAGCAAACCATCTTTAGCTCTGCTTATTTTCTGTAGGAAGTACCATGGTGAAGTGAAAAGAGTATGGAGTTTTGATGGAATTGAATTTAAATCCTAGCTCTTACTAGTTAGGTGACCTTAGGAAATTTATGTAATTTTTCTGAGCCTCAATTTTCCTTGTAAATAGGGGGTTGTAAAATTTAAGTGATACAAATTCTATACAGCTTGACCGATAGGATTTCCAAAGAATGATAGCTACTACTTACTTTCTGTCAGCTTATTTTAGACCCATTCTTAAAGGCACTGATGTCCAGCCTTCTGTTATGATGGGAATGTTCTATGTTTATACTGCCAATATAGCTATTGAGTAATGAAAATGTGAGTAGGGTAATGGAGAAATTTAATTTTTAAGTCTAAGTGGTTGCTTATTGGACATGCAACTTTAAGGTCCACTTATGACCCACTGTTTTTGCTTCATGAAGCCTTCCTTGACCAATCCTACTTTTTTTCTTAACCTTACTTGCTTTCTACCACTTATTTGGTGGTATGTTAATTTCTATGAGTCTTGTCTTTCTGGCTAGATTGTATCTGAGGTTATGGATTTTTAAATCTCCACATTGCTGCATGAAAAAGAACACAATGATAAAAGTATAACTAGTATTTTTAGCTAACAAGTTTTAGATGATCATTACAAGTAAATAAAAAAATCTTCTAGCTAGTAATTAGGTGAAGAGTAGGGAATAGTGTGAAGGTTGCCTGCAAAGATGAACTGCGCATCTAGTATGTATTTGACCTCAAAGTTCAGATTACACTCAAATGCTGGAAGAGGAAATTAAAGCAAGCCTCTTTCTTATGTTGCCATCTTGTGGCAGACTTGGGTTCCAAATGTTACTAATTCAATTTTCCTATGTAAAGGGAAGAGTTTCTTCAGATTATTTTGACAAAGGACTACGAAGAGTAAAGGTTAAACACAATCCGGCATTCGCTCAAATGAAATTGAAACATGCTTTGAAAAAACTGACTATTTTGGATTATTTTCTCAGTTAGCTGAATCCTACAAGTTCTTGACTCCTTTCTCTTGTGTAACTATTTTCTTACTGTGAGACTGTTGACCTTTATAGCCTTTCAGAAGTTGGTTAGACTATTGTGCAGTGTTATCCAAACTTGTAAATTTATACAAAATTAAGCTTGTGTACATACAGGTCCTGCTCTGTTTTTTTTTTTTTTTTTCTTGAGACAGGTCTTACTCTGTTGTCTAGGGTGGAGTACGGTGGCATGATCACAGCTCACTGTAACTTTGAACTCCTGATCCTGCCCTATTTGATATTGAACTTGGGCATTTGGTGACATTCTCCGAAAGATGAGTCAATAGTTTATATTAATGAATGGAGAGTTAAATAAAGGATGAACAGTTACTCTAAATTATCTTGTGACTTGGTGTAGAACATGCTGGTGTGAGTTGTCATGTAATCATAACCTTTGTGAATTTATTTTGTTAAAATTTTCCAGAAATGATCCTAGGTAATTGATAGATCCTGTGGTTCAACTGGATTTCTAGATAGAAGCTGGATTCATGTGATGCCAGAGGTAAGAGTAAGAGCAAAATCTTCATTTTTACCTCATTTGGATTTCTAATCACCTAGCAAGACTTGGGACTCAGTGTTATTAGTGGATGGAATTTGGTAATTGAAAAAAATCCCTAGTTCTAACCTTAAGAGAATTTTCCTGTTTAGGGATAAGGAGCCAGTGCTGGTTTGCCCTTCCCCAGTCATTTACAGTTTGCCATGATGAAATGCATGTTAAGTCCGTGTTTCAGCTGATCAGCCTGATTAAACACATGCTCTGAGCAGACTAAAGCTAGGGGCAAACACCTGCAATTGAATTCTGCTTGTTGGAATTCATACTGGGATTTAGTCTGTAATCCCAAGTGATTCTTAAACCTTAACAAATTATGAATTTATATATAATAAATTTATATAAATAATAAGTTAGGAATTTGGGACTAATTTATTGTGCTTTGATCTTTTGTGATATCTCTATAATCCCAAAAAATCACTTTTGTGAGTTAGAACTAGGGTCAGGAATCCTTAATCTAAAAGTTCAAACACTACAGAAAAAGCACTGGCAACTGGTATAATTCTATAGGCAATTTAGCCTGGCAATTTTAAACCAATCACTATTTTATCAATCTATACATATAGATTAAGGGAAACACAGAGTTGGTTAAATCTATTTTGTGAAGACTATACAATACAACACTATATAGTCACTTAAAAGTTATGATACAGGTTTATGTTTATTGAAATAGAATGATATTCATTATACACGAAAAACATTATAGAGCAATGTGTTTCTGCTTAAATATTTTTATATGCATATGTTTGCTTAAGAAATCGGAAAGGATATATATACTAAAATACTAGGGGTTATTTTCTCTAGAATTGAGTTCTACAAGTAATCTTGTATTATTATAAACCTATTTTCTAATTTTATTGTATTCATGTATTGTAATATTTTAAAAGTTATTTTAAGTAACTTAGGAAAGCTTGTATTCTTTACCTATGCCTGCATTTTCAGCAGAGAATTAGGTAGAAAGAAGGGTGAAATACAGAAAATATAAACAACTCAAAGTATATCAGGACTTGAAATAATTTTTTAGCTTTTGTTGTCTTTTGCAGAAGTAAACTTTCAAGAGACTGAAATCAGATCTGAGTCTCACTGTTCCAGTCTGGACCTCTTTGGTGCTGTAAATCCTGGATATACGGTAGATGATTACTGCATTTTTCTTTTATGGTAAGGCTTAGTTGATATTGAGAAGCTTCGACATATATATGAGTCTTTGAAAATTCAGGTTTGTGACTTCATGGCCAGCTGCTAAGGTGCTGTAAGTTTCATTTTTTAAAAGTCAGTTGAGGCCAGGTGTGGTGGCTCATGCCTATAATCCTAGCACTTTGGGTGGCCAAGGTGGGTGGATTGTCTGAGCTCAGGAGTTTGAGACCAGACTGGCCAACATGGCAAACCCCATCTCTACTAAAAAAATACAAAAAATTAGCTGGGCGTGGTGGTGTGCGCCTGTAGTCCCTGCTACTCAGGAGGCTGAGGCAGGAGAATTGCTTGAACCCAGGAGGCGGAAGTTGCAGTGAGCAGAGATAGTGCAACTGTACTCCAGCCTGGGTGACAGCGAGATTCCATCTCCAAAAAACAAAAACAAAAAAGTCAATTAAAGATGTTGGAGTCAGACTGGGTTCAAACCCATGCTTTCTATCACTTCACCAGTTACGCAGTATTGGCAAGTTTCCTAATTATCTGTGTCTTAGTTTTATATTTTATATTTATATTTTAGAGAATGGCAATAGTATTTGACTCAGGGTGGTTATTTTGAAGATTAAATTAGTAAGGGTGTGGGTAAAGCATATGGTAAATGCTCAGTTTGATGTTAACTATTTTGTCTTCAGAATCCATGTTTATATTTCTCTTAGATTCTGTACTACCCGGCAATTTTTGACATCTGCATAATAGATTGACGAAAATTCTTTGTTTTGGCCTGACGTGATGGCTCACGCCTGTAATCCCAGCACTTTGGGAGGCAAAGTGGGCAGATCACCTGAGGTCAGGAGTTCAAGACCAGCCTGGCTAACATGGTGAAACCTTGTTTCTACCTAAAATACAAAAATTAGCTGGGTGTGGTGGTGTGCACCTGTAATCCCAGCTACTTGGGAGGCTGAGGCAGGAGAATCGCTTGAACTTGGGAGGCAGAGGTTGCAGTGAGCTGAGATCGTACCACTGCACTCTAGCCTAGGTGACAGAGCTAGACTTCGTCTCAAAAAAAAAAAAAAGAGGAAATTCTTTGTTTTTATTGCTTATATATCTTTCTGTTAATTAGACTACCCCTCATTACCTTCACCTTGCCCCTCAAAACTTAATTAAGTTCTAGAATTAGTCACAGGCACTATAGTGTGTATCTTTATATAATTGTTGGAATAACATTTTCTTTAGTTGATTAATCTTGATTTTGGTACTAACTTTTTATGTAGTTCCTCATTTTGCCTTGCCGAATCAATTGATCCTTAATGATCTCTTCTAGTTCTTACTTAGATGTAATGATTCCTATCTTATAAGAGTCTCTTGATGTCTTATTTTTTTTTGAGACAGGGACTCACTTCATTGCCCAGGCTGGACTGCAGTGGCACAATCAGGGCTCACTGAAGCCCCAGCTTCCCAGCCTCAGGTGATTCTCTCACCTCAGGCTCCCAAGTAGCTGGGGCCACAGGCCACCATGCCTGGCTAATTTTTTGTATTTTTTGTAGAGATGGGGTTTTGCCATGTTGCCCAGGTTGGGATGTCTTTATTTTTTATAAACGTTTCTTAAATTAATGTGGTTGGAGGTAAACTTTGATGGCTGTTCCTCTCACTGCTTGGAGCCTTAGGCAGTGGGATTTTGATCCATCATATATTAAAAATGGCTTATCTTCACTCAGGGCACCATGAGGATGGGCTGGCTGTCCGTTAGTGCCTTCTGATTTTTGCGGAGTCAAACAATTACTAAACGGGTGGTGATTCTAGATTAAGAAAATGTACCTGTGATTAAAAAAATAAAAGCAGCAGCCTAGTTTCAAAACATGAGCATATAGTAATTAGATAGCTCTCATCTAGCGCTATGAAAGAAAGCCAGTTGGCTCTGGGAGTTACTGAAACATTATACTATAAAGTCATTCATGTTCAAATTTTAAATGGTTTACTTGGTTTTCTAGAGTGGTTGCTCACACAAGTCAGGGCAGTTTTAAAAATACACTTTTTGGTTGGGTGCGGTGGCTCACACCTGTAATACCAGCACTTTAGGAAGCTGACGTGGGCGGATCACCTGAGGTCAGGAGTTCAAGACCAGCCTGGCCAACATGGTGAAACCCTGTCTCTACTAAAAATACAAAAATTAGCCGGGCATGGTGGTGCGCACCTGTAGTCCCAGCTACTTGGGAAGCTGAGGCAAGAGAATCACTTGAACCTGGGAGGTGGAGATTGCAGTAAGCCAAGATTGTGCCATTGCACTCCAACCTGGGTGATAGAGTGAGATACTCCGTCTCAAAAAAAAAAAAAATTATACATATAACTTTTCTTTGCAGTATGAAGATAGATAATTCTTCAAGTTAAAGATGGACTTTTCTCACCAGAAATGGCTTTATGGAATCAATTTGCAAAAATGTAAGAGGCGGCAAAGGAAAGAATAAAATAATATTTTCATTTTCTTCTGTCATTCTTAGATCCTTTGGTAGATTGTAAACTCCTTGAAAGCAGGATACCTTCTTTTCCCCTAAGACCTGGCCCAGAAGAGATACCAAAAAAATATTTGCTTATATACTAACCTAGTCTCTGGGTGTGGGAGCCATAGAGGATTCAGGGTGGGGCAGGGGGGGAAGGCAGGGGAAGCCCTGATTGACAAAACAGGGCGGTTTCCAAAAGGAATTCTTGGCATGTGTACTCAAGGAGACATGTATAGAACGTTCACTGTGGTATTGTTTTTAATTGTAAAACCTGGAATCAATGCCTATTATAAGAATGACTGCCAAAACCAATCTATTTATGTGAGGAATAGATATATAAAAGCTTACTGATATTTAAAAATCTTTTATTGTTAATATTTTATTTACAATCTTACTTGATATTTATCATTGACTTAAATTGCACATACCACTCAGGTATGGTTAAAAACTCATTTCTGCTTCATGTTGAAATATTCTCAATTGTTTTGGCTAAAGTATACTGTCCTATATGCTGTGTTTACATCCATGATGGTATATTTAAATACAAGGGGTACAAAATAAAAATCCAAATATTGAAAGTCTGGTATACTTCACTGTTTTTGTAATGAGATTTAATACTCATGCTTATACCAGAATCTCACAAATGGTATGCAACTGTAATAACTTGTGTTGGCCAGAATATGAAACCTATTCTTTAGATTAAGATTCTTGAAATTGCTTCATCAATAATATACATTTCATGAACATTCAGTAGTTTGTCTAAAAATAGTAAACAACTGAGTTAAACCATTTCATAAATTACAAGAAATAGGTCTTCAGGTTGTCAGACTTTTCTGTCTGTTGCAAATCTCAACTTTTGGCTATAAAAACAAGGTATCAAAATAAACAGGAAGTTACTTCTGTGTGTTCAAATATAGCACAACTACTACTTGAAACTCAATGCCTTTTCTCCTTCATTATAATATCTTCAAATTGCTTTTCTCTATATAGATTCTCATGGAAAGTATTTCTTTTCTTTTCTTTTTTTTTGAGACGGAGTTTTGCTCTTGTTGCCCATGCTGGAGTGCAATGGCATGATCTTGGCTCACCGCAACCTCCACCTTCCAGGTTCAAGCTATTCTCCTGCCTCAGCCTCCTAAGTAGCTGGGACAGGCATGCACCACCACGCCCAGCTAATTTTTGTATTTTTAGTAGAGATGGGATTTCTCCACATTGGTCAGGCTGGTCTCGAACTCCCAACCTTAGGTGATCTGCCCATCTCGGCCTCCCAAAGTGCTGGGATTATAGGTGTTAGCCATTGCGCCTGGCCTGATTCTCATGGAAAGTGTTTCATATCTATAATTTTTTTTTTTGAGATGGAGTCTGACTTTGTTGCCTAGACTGGAGTGCAGTGGTGCAATCTCGGCTCACCACAACCTCCGCCTCCCGGGTTCAGGCTATTCTCCTGCCTCAACCTCCCGAGTAGCTGGGATTACAGGTGCCCACCACCACACCCAGCTTATTTTTGTGTTTTTTTGTAGAGATGGGGTTTGATCATGTTAGCCAGGCTGGACTCAAACTCCTGACCTCAGATGATCCACCTGCCTTGGCCTCCCAAAGCGCTGGAATATGATTTTGTTATTCTGAGTAGTTTTGTCTTTGTGGTTGCTTGCCTTGTTTTGTATAGTCAATAAATATGATTAAATATCATTCTAAAAACAATGAAATACAATATTCCTAATATTTTGATGCATATTGTATCCCTTGCATGGTAAATATAACCTAGGAATGTTATAGACTAGACTACCACTCCAACAAATAGTGAAGTTGTTGGAATGTTTGCTTTCTTGAATGTTGTGGTCACTCTGGCCTTCACAACTCTTATTGTAAGTTATTGAGACTCTTTATGTTGGGAAGAATGAATTAAGTTGTATATATGAAAAGCAAAACTTTAAAACTATTGAAAAGCAAGAGTATGATATTGGAGTAGACATAAGTACAAAAAGGGAAAGTTGATACATTTGTGTACACTAAAATTCAAACTTATGTTTGCATGCCATATTACTGTTAAATGACTCCATATAAATCAAGAAAATCATCAAAGGATGTGAACAGGCAAATCACAGATGAGGATCCCTGAGTAGTCATTCAGATGAAAAAATGCTCACTCTTACGAGTATGAAAGAGTTGTACATTAAAACAATGCTGAGATGCCATTTCACTGTCATCAGATAGACAACAATGAAATAAAATAAAACAACTTGACATGTCTGCATGTTGCTGAATTTATAGCATTGGGCTCTGGTATACTTTGCTGGTGGCAGTGAAATTTATGCCTTTACTTTGGAGAGTGGTTTGGCAACATTTAGTTGATTTGAAGTTGCTTATATACTAACCCAGTCTCTGAGTGTTATATTCTAGAGGAATTTTTGGCATGTGTACTCAAGGAGACATGTACAGAATGTTCATTGCAGTATTGTTTTTAATTATAAAAACCCGCAATCAATGTCTATTAGAAGAATGGATAAATTGTAGCATATTTGCAGTACATGGTGTTAAAATGAATTAATGTTAAGTATATATTAACTTAGATACATCTCCAGGAAGTGATCATGGTGCTGTACAAAGGCTAGGTACTAGTTAGGTACTAGTCAAATTAGAATATTTTGCATTTTTCAACTTTAAATGAGTTGTACTTTTTTTTGTATTAATATTTCTACATTTGGCATAGTTAAAACCGGAATTCACACAAAAGGCTCGAACAGCCAAAAACAGATGTTAGGGAGTACATGGTTCACACATGAAGATTTCATTGTTTTGAAACTGGTTTATACCAGAATTAAGTTACCACTTTAAAGTTATCAGAATATATTTTAGGAAATGTACAAAGGCCTAATTACTCTGAACCAGTTAACAAACCTTGTAGGAAGATGCACAGTTTTTGACAGTTTTTTGTTTGAAGGAAAAAGATTTGATATTACGGTTTGGCACTACTCAGAAAGGGGTTTGCAGGGTTTGATGTCCATTGTGTGGCTAATTGCATCTGTTACTAAGTCATAATGGGGTCACAACATCTGGAAGGATGGCTACAAAAGATGGTATAAGGCTGGGCATGGTGGCGCATGCCTGTAATCCCAGCACGTTGGGAGGCCGAGGTGGGTGGATCACTTGAGGTCAAGAGTTTGAAACCAGCTTGGCCAACATGGCGAGACCCTGTGTCTACTAAAAATACAAAAATTTGCTGGGTGTGTTGGCAGGCGCCTGTAATCCCAGCTACTCGGGAGGCTGAGGCAGGAGAATCGCTTGAACCTGGAAGGCTGAGGTTGAAGTGAGCCGAGATCGTATCACAGCACTCCAGCCTGGGCGACAGAGTGAGACCCTATCTGGAAAAGAAAAAAAAGCTTCATTAAGGTTTATATTGAGGACCCTTCTAGCTTTCCTCTTCAGGTTAATTTTTAATCTGAGTTCTAACATCCATATAGATTAAGCAGAAAATAATTACCTACAGCAGCTGCTATAGGTAATGCCTGGAACTGCCAGCAGTTCCAGGAGAGCAAGTAGGTAGGTAACCTCAAAGTTGTGACCCTCAATACTATCGCTTAATTTTTTTCTTTTTTTAAGATGGAGTGTCGCTCTTGTTGCCCTGGCTGGAGTCCAGTGGTGCGATCTCGGCTCACTGCAACCTTTGCTGCTGGGTTCAAGTGATTCTCCTGCTTCAGCCTCCGGAGTAGCTGGGATTACAGGCGTCCGCCACCACGCCCGGAGCTAATTTTTGTATTTTAGTAGAGACGGGGTTTCATCATGTTGGCCACACTGGTCTGGAACTCCTGACCTCAGGTGATCCGCTCACCTCAGCCTGCCAAAGTGTTGGGATTACAGGCGTGAGCCACCGCGCCCAGCCCTGTATCGCTTAATGTAAAGCCCTGTAATGCATGTTTGCAATGCAGACCCAAAGAAAATTATAACTTCCTTAAATGTGTATAGAGGATGTGTGACAGCTGAAAAGATGTCTATTCCAAGGTGGATAAAAAATAAAATGGTGGATTACCCCAACTTGGAGGTGCCAGCTGTCCAATTACAGCCGTCACACCGTTTCTGGGAATTTCTCCTGATTCTTAGAAAGCCGGAGCTGCTGGCCACACCTCCACAGGGCCTGGCAGGTCCCAGGATGCTTTGGGGCAACCCTACGCACGCGCGCTCTGGCGTAGTTCCCTGAAGCACTCGCGCGCGGAGAATCCTGGAATCTTCGCCTGTGGAGCTGTGGAGGCAACGGAGTTTTTCCGCGCTTTTTCTTTCAGTCTCAGATTAAGTATCATTTGTTATTATTATTTTCTCTACTGAGCGCGGAAAGCTGACTGAAAATTCCAGAGTGTAATTTCTGTGGGGCTGTTTCTGTAAAACTTGGCCCTCACGCAGCTTGTACAGCCATTAGATAGGCGCTTACTCCCAGCTGGTGGAAGATTCGAAGTAGCTGCGCCTCTTGCCTGAGCGAGGGCTCAGCTTTAAAGCTTCCCAGCTCCTCTGCTTCGCGTCTGCCCCCTACTCTGCCGGACGTAAAATAGGCCTCTTAACTGTGGCTGCCAGGTGACATACCTGAGGAGCCTCACTCAGCGGGGCTACTGGATAAACGTGTCCAAGTGTTCCTTTCTGTCGACCCGGAGGGCCAAGGCAACTTTTTTTTTTTTTTTTTTTTTTGCTGAGACGGAGTCTCGCTCTATCGCCTGCTGGAGTGCAATGGCGCGATCTCGGCTCACTGCAACCTCCGCCTCCTGGGTTCAAACGATTCTCCTGCCTTAGCCTCCTGAGTAGTTGGGACTACAGGCGCACGCCACCACGCCAGGCTAATTTTTTATATTTTTGGTACAGACGGGGTTTCACCATGTTAGTCAGGCTGGTGTCGAACTCCTGACCTCGTGATCCGTCTGCCTCGGCCTCCCAAAATGCTGGGATTATACAGGGGTGAGCCCCTGCGTCCGGCCTATATATATGTTTTGAGACAGATTCTTGCTCTGTCGCCCAGGCTGGAGTGCAGTGGCGCGATCTCGGTTCACTGCGACCTCTGCCTCCCTGTTTCAAGTGATTCTCCTGCCTCAGCCTCCCTAGTAGCTGCGACTACAGGCTTGAGCCACCACGCCTGGCTAATTTTTGTATGTTTAATAGAGAGTGGGTTTCCCCATGTTGGCCAGGCTGGTCTCGAACTCCTGACCTGCCTGCCTTGGCCTCCCAAAGTGCTGGGATTATAGGCGTGTGCCACTGCCCATGGCCCACGTATATATTATTTTTGACTTTAACAAGATCTGTAACCACCTTTGTCTTTGCCTTTATCCTTAAAGTGTTTTTATAAAACCGGACAAACAAGGAGCACAATTAATATTATTGAGTAACTGAAATCAATATATCAATTATACTAAATACAAGGAATATAATAAAATGTGCAGTATTTTATAATAAAAACATGCATGTTATATTTATTTTTTACTTGTTATTTATTTTATTTTTATTGCAATTTAACTTACTTGGCCTTTTTATTTACCCCTTATTAGGACTCTCTTCAGCTTCTGGAGACCTCACTATCCTATTATGTCTTTGTGTGAAGACATGCTGCTTTGTAATTATCGAAAGTGTCGCATCAAACTCTCTGGCTATGCATGGGTCACTGCCTGCTCTCACATCTTCTGTGATCAGCATGGCAGCGGTGAGTTTAGTCGTTCACCAGCTATCTGTCCTGCCTGCAACAGTACCCTTTCTGGAAAGCTAGATATTGTCCGCACAGAACTCAGTCCATCAGAGGAATATAAAGCTATGGTATTGGCAGGACTGCGACCAGAGATCGTGTTGGACATTAGCTCCCGAGCACTGGCCTTCTGGACATATCAGGTTAGTGCTTAGTCTAGTTTCTCTTGAACATATAATTTCAGGCATTTGTGGGAGCTTCTAGTGTCTTTTCTTCATGATTTTATATTTATTTTTTATGAGTATATGAGAAACTGTCTTATTAGCTTGTTTTGTTTTCAATAATGTTTATTGTTGAAAATCAAAAGGAAGAAAATTAAAGCACTCATAATTCCATCACTCAGATATAACCATTGTTGATAATTTGGGTACACACACACACACACACACACACACTCTCTGTCTTCTGTATAAAAGTAAGATAATAACACACACACTGTTTTATTGTTAGAGTTGACAATATATTATATCTGGTATGTGTTTTTCTTTCTTTTGAGATGGGGTTTTCTTGTGTTGCCCAGGCTAGTCTCTAACTCCTGGGTTCAAGCCATTCTCCTGCCTCAGCCTCCTGAGTAGCCTTTGCTCCACTGGGTGTGAATATCTTGTTAAATATATTTTAGTTAACTATTCTATAATCATATTTTAATGGTTATATTGTTTTTAGCATAATTTATTTCCAAGTTATTAAAATACTATGATAAGCATTCTTATCAAATAACACATCCTTAACTTCTTTCCTTTATGATTTCTACTTTTAGTATTTCCTTTGAAAGACCTCCCTGTGGATAACTTTAAGCATGTCCTTGAATGTATTGTTATATCTTACATATACACTTATACTTATTAAGGATGTTTGTCATCTGTCAGGTAACTTTTTATTATATTTTTCTGGGTAAGTTGTTTCTCTTACATGCTCCTGTATTTTTCAACTCCTTTGGTTAAATACCAAATAGTGTTTTTGCTGGCTTATGTGGTAAGAGTATGTTTATTTTTGTAAGCAACTGCCAAATTGTCTTCCAAAGTGGCTGTACCGTTTTATATTGCCAGCAGCAATGAGTGAGAACCTGTTGCTCCACATCTTTGCCAGAAGTTGGTATTGTGCATGTTCTGGATCTTGGCCATTTTAATAGGTGTATAGTGGTATCTCATTTTAATTTCCATGTCTCTGATGACATACGATGTGGAGCATCTTTTCATATGCTTTTTTGCCTTTTTTTTTTGGTGAGGTGTATATGAAGTTTTTGGTCTATTTTTAAATTTTTTTAATTGTTGAGTTTTAAGTGTTCTTTGTATCCTTATTGCGTTTGAAGTATTCTTTGATCCTTTATCAGAGCTATCTTTTGCAAATATACTCTTCTGATCCGTGGCTTGTCATTTCATTCTCTTACAGGGTCTTTCACAGAGCAGAGATTTTTAACTTTAATGAAGTCCTGCTTATCAATTTTCTCTTTCATGGATTATACCTTTGGTGTATTTTAAAAGTCACTGCCAAATCCAAGATCATCTAGATTTTATCCTGTGTTATCTTCTGGGAGTTTTATAGTTTTGCATTTTACATTTAAGTCTGTAAACCATTTTGAGTTTATTTTTGTGAAAAGCGTAAGATCTGTCTAGATTCATTGGGTCCTCAATTTTTTGCTGGCTATTCACCAGAGGCTCTTAGTTACTTGCCTCTTGGACCTTCCTGACATGGCTGCTTGCTTCCTCAAAGCCAGCAAGGGAGTGTGTCTCGTAGTAAGACAGACCTTATAGTCTTAGGTAATACACTTACGAAGTGACAACCTGTCACATTTTATGTAGTATTGTAGTCACAGGTCCTGCCCACATGCAAGAGGATAGGGAGTTACACAAGGGTGTATGTACCAGGAGACAATGATAATTTGGGGTTGTCTTAGAGTCTGTTCTTCATGCTCTGGATGACTTGAAAAATGGGATTATATTTCTTAAAAACCTTTGGAAAACATGTCACTTGTTAAAGTAAGACAAATACTCAGTTCTTTTGGTGGTGTAAAGTTAGTGGTTTGAGAGTATTCTTCCAGACTTTTTTCCTATGCATTTAATAACATAACTTATTGTTTTCTGTGCCTCATTGTGTATCCTGATTGCTTCTTAAACTGGGTTCTAAATGTTAAAATAACATCCCTATATAAGCATCTTTCTTTTCCTTTTGTGTTTGTATAATATTTTACAGTGTATAACTTTGTACCCCATACCTTAAAAATCTTTTTTCTTTTGGAACCAGGTACATCAGGAACGTCTTTATCAAGAATACAATTTCAGCAAGGCTGAGGGCCATCTGAAACAGATGGAGAAGATATATACTCAGCAAATACAAAGCAAGGATGTAGAATTGACCTCTATGAAAGGGGAGGTCACCTCCATGAAGAAAGTACTAGAAGAATACAAGAAAAAGTTCAGTGACATCTCTGAGAAACTTATGGAGCGCAATCGTCAGTATCAAAAGCTCCAAGGCCTCTATGATAGCCTTAGGTTACGAAACATCACTATTGCTAACCATGAAGGAACCCTTGAACCATCCATGATTGCACAGTCTGGTGTTCTTGGCTTCCCCTTAGGTAAGAAAGGACATGTGATATCCAGTGTCTATTCTTTAAATCAATGATTTTTTATACTGCTCTGCCCACTTCCAAGCATTCAGTGGAGATGATAAGGGTCTTGAGTTGTGGTAGGCTATGAATTCTTCACCCATGTTTCAACCTGTACATCATTGCTTTTATCTATTGTATTTGCTTACATTTAAATTAAAGCTTTAATTTGAGCAGAGTTAATCTCTGCAAAATGAAAGTTTGCAGATTGCTACATTAAATTAAAAGCTACGTAGTTGTAGTAATAATAATATTAACTGTCATTTATTGATTCCTAAGTGCTAGGCACTGTTTTAAGTGTTTTATATAAATTCATATAATTTACAAAACTTTATGAAGTAAGTATTATTATCCTTTTATACAGATGAGAAAGCTGAGGCACAGAAAGTTAAGTAATTTGGTCAATATCACTAACCTGTTTTCAGAGCCCATACTCTTAACCATTTGCTATCCTCCAAGAAGGCCATGTTTCGATTTTTTTCACCTGCCAATACTGATTGTACAATTCTTAAGTTGTCAGTTTGGTTGTTTTGTTCTTTTGTTTAATCATTTTTCCATTTATCAAATATTTATCTAATATGTTTTATGTACCAGGTTGTTAGGTATGATCCTAACTAATGAAGATATAAAGATTATCCAAATAGGATTCTTTCTTTCTGGAAATCACAATCTAGCATGATGCCATCTCTTGTCTGCTTGTTAGGTGCCTTGCAGATGAAATTAATCTCATATCTTCCTGTGCTCTCTCCTTTATACTACTCTTTATGCAACAAAATCCAATAAGTTTTTGCTATGCTATTAATGGAAATTGTTTTTGGCATACAAAAAAGTGAAGCTTCTTGTGCTGGGCTTTCCTAATACTCATTTTTGGATATTTACTATAGGCTGAGGAAGAAGATTCAATAGGGGAGGAGATGATGTCTTAGAAAAATTATGAGGTGATCAGGTGCGGCCCAGCACTTTGGGAGGTTGAGGTGGGAGAATCACTTGAGCCCAGGAATTTGAGCCCAGCCTGGGCAATATAGTGAGACCCTGTCTCTACAAAAAAATGGTGGGGAGCAGGTATGAGATGATGAGATGAGGAATATCAGATATAAGAATAAAAACCTAAATATCTGCTTAACTTTCAGTTTTACTTACATAATGTAATTTAGTCAGAGTTACTGTAAATGGCATTATAGATATTTTTTTCTTGTCACTGTCCACTTGTCTTATTTTTTTCATATTCACCAGTTCTTTCCCATTCCTTTTTTTGTACACAGTTAACCTCTTTATCTCCTGCTACCACTGTTAGCTTGAAGGATATATAGTCAGCATTTTCATTTAGTTATTTGATCCTTTAAAACCTGTAAAAGCCAAGGAAGGGTTCAGTGGAAGTAGTTAAATGTTCATTTAATCAGATCTATTATCTGCTTTGTCTTAATCCTATGCTAATTGATATTGGGTCATGGTATATGCCAATATTTCATCGTTATATTTTTTCTAGAATGTTTATTGCAATGTTTTTTAAAAAGATTATTCTTAACCTGGGGCAAAAGATTTTATATGTCTGTTTTTTTCTAAGACAAATACTGGAGAAAAAAAATATATTTATATATATGTATATTTGATGATTCCTCTGAAGTAGATTATGTAGATAACAAATGAATAAAATTATGTTTTTCCCTTTTTTTCCCCCGCTAGGTAACAACTCCAAGTTTCCTTTGGATAATACACCTGTTCGAAATCGGGGCGATGGAGATGGAGATTTTCAGTTCAGACCATTTTTTGTGGGTTCTCCCACAGCACCCGAACCCAGCAACAGCTTTTTTAGTTTTGCCTCTCCAAGTCGTGAATTAGAGCAGCAGCAAGTTTCTAGCAGGGCCTTCAAAGTAAAAAGAATTTGAGCCATGCATGGTGTCACACACCTGTGATCCCAGCTACTTAGGAGGTTGAGGTTGGGAGGATCCCTTGAGCCCAGGAGTCTGAGGCTATAGTGATCTAAGATCATGCCACTGCACTCCAGCTTGGGCAACAGAGTGAGACCCTGTTTCTAAAAAAATAAAGATAATTTAGCTAACTTTGCAGAATGTTTCTATGTTCCTCTTTAGTGATTTCATTTAGCAAATCTTTTTCCTAGTTAGGACTCCTCAGCTTCCCTGTGCTTTTAAATCTCTGAAGTTGTCTTCACATTATCAACATAACAAACTCATTGGCAGTGGGGAGTGGTTTAGAGTCTGGTTTCTTTGTTTCTATTATTTAAAGCATAAGCGTTTTATTAATTTAAATTCCATTGTGAACTGCTGAATTTTCATCCCTGGTGGGAAGGTCACAATAGTATTTGTTTCAATAGATAACTGTTTCTCCCTGGGCTGTTTCTGACTGAGCTGTATTGTTTATGCCTTAAGTACCTGTGTTATATGCTACATGTCGCTTTGAATTCTGGTATTTATGCATATCTGTATATGTAAGTATGTTAATGTACACTGATATTTTGCTGTATTTGTCAGTATGTTTATGTGAAAATTTTGGTCTTGGAAAATGGTGGGTGATGTGTGGCTTGTTATTTGGGTATGTGTATTTATTTGTATATATTTATGTATTTACCTTCATATTAACTTGTTTGGAGGTGTGCTTATGCCAGTGAACGAGAGTACAATTTGATGCATGTATTTGATGCATGTCCCTATTTGTATTTAAAATAACTCACATTGATAGTTATTTTTTAAAGTTAATTTTTTTGGTGTTTACAGTTGGCCCTCTGTATCCACAGGTTCTGCTTCTGCAGATTCAGCCAACCATATATCAAAAATATTTGAGAAAAAATTAATAATATAACAATAAAAAATACAAATAAAAAATACTGTATAATAACTATTTGGATAGCATTTACATTGTAGGTATTATAAATAATTTAGAGGTGATTTGAAGTATTTGGGAGAATCTGTAGGTTATATGCAAATACCATGCCATTTTATAAAAGTGACATGAGCATCCAAGGATTTTGGTATCCATGAGGGTTCCTGGAACCAATCCCCCAAAGATACCAAAGGAAGACTGTATTTTAAAATAAAGCTACTTCTTTACCTTTTTGTCAACTGTTGCCTTGGGTTTACTTATTTAGGAATGCACTTCTGCAGAAAGTTTACCAATGTGTTATTGATCTCAAGAGACTATTAAAATAATTTAAAAGATTTATTCTTTGTTTTCCTTTATTTAGTGAGCATTTGTGACTATTATTATGGAAATTAAATTCTGTTTAATTACGCATATATATATATTTAAAATGTATAGCCATGATAGAAATTTGAAGGACTTCTCAGTGACTTTATGTCTTACTAGAGGAAAGACTTGAAAGCATACTGGCTGGGGAGGCAGAAGATCTGGATTCTGGTTTCTACTTAGTTTAAACTTTCTTGGACTTTGTATCTGTAGAATGAAGGATTGAGTTAAGTTATCCTTACAGCCTTTTCTAACTCTTAAATTTTAGGATTGATTCTTAATGGTTTAGGATTTGTTAACAGTGGAATTACCCTAAATGCCAAATCCCATTGTTTTTTAGGTAATAAAAATTATACTGAAATCATTTGAAGATAGTTTATGTTTAGTCATTGTAGAAAGGCAATTAAATACCCCTGCTTTACATAATTGAAAAGCAAGTAGTGTTTCCTTCACTAGGAATATAGAGTATAAAATCTCTTAAAAATTATTCTTAGTGTGCACCAAAGTTATTTATTACTGTTTTTTTGAGATGGAGTCTTGCTGTGTCGCCCAGGCTGGAGTGCAGTGGCAGCATCTTGTCCCACTGCAACCTCCACCTCCTGGGTTCAAGTGGTTCTGCCTTGGCCTCCCAAATAGCTGGAATTGCAGGTGCACGCCACCACACCTGGCTAATTTTTGTGTCTTTAGTAGAGACAGGGTTTCACCACATTGGCCAGCCTGGTCTTGAACTCCTGACCTCAAGTGATCCGCCCACCTTGGCCTCCCAAAGTGCTGGGATTACAGGTGTGAGCCACTGAGCCCAGCCTCATGTGCACCAAAGTTAAAATGTCTGAGAAAGAGGACGAAAAATTTTACAGTTTTAGGGCTGGGTGTGGTGGCTGACGCCTGTAATCCTAGCACTTTGGGAGGCCGAGGCTGGTGGATCACTTGATCAGGAGATCAAGACCATCCTGGCTAACACGGTGAAACCCCATCTCTACTAAAAATACACACAAAAAATTAGCCAGGCGTGGTGGCATGCGCCTGTAGTCCCACTGTAGTCCCAGCTACTCTGGAGGCTGAGGCAGGAGAATCGCTTGAACTCGGAGGCAGAGGTTGCAGTGAACCGAGATCGTGCCATTGCCCTCCAGCCTGGGCTGCACAGTGAGACTTTTTTCTCACTGTGTCTCAAAAAAAAAGTTTTAAAACATCCCTCCCTATTTTATAGCTAGTGACATAGATTTTTATAGGTTACAATACAAACTATTTCCTTTATGTTGGAAAATGATTTGAGGAAATGATTTTATGTATATTCATGATTTCTGCCTTGAACGTTTTGCTTCTTAGGTTCACAGAATCAACTTGAAACTGTAATTAAAACTAAAAAAGTAAAGCAAAACTGTCAGGAATATTACATGACACTTTAAAAGATTTCTTCACAAGTTTAATATATTCACAAGGTACAAACTTGAAAGTTACAAAAAAGGCATAGAGTGAAAAGTCTATCCCTAGTCACTCATTTTTGCTCCAGCTGCTCACTTGTGCAAAGTAAGCAATAGTGTTGCCAGTGTCTTGTGTCTTTCCAGAGACTATGTAGAAGCAAATAATTTTTTATTTAAAAATTATGTTTATATTTGAATAGGTGATACATATAGATGGCAAGAAAATTCAAAAGCGCAGGCAGTGAAAATTTTCTTCGTTTAGCCACAGCTCCCCAGTTTCTGTTTTCCTCTGCAGTCATTGTTTCTTATATATCCTTCTGGATGTTGTCTATAAATATGGAGGCATTATTAGTGTACAGCATGGTGGTTTTTATGAGTCATCCCAAGTGTAGTATTTATTAGAATAGTGCATTAAAATGATAAAATTAATCATACATAGAAAGTTATTGCAAAGTTTGGAAAAGATTGAGTAAAGTAGCCATTGTACTACATGGGTTTAAAAATTTCAAACAACACAGGTGTGCACTTCTTAAACTCTCTTCTTCATGGAATATTATAATCTTAGTATAAATAAGTAGGAAGATATGAAACAAGAATATAGAAATTAAGCTGAGGACATTTTGTTTCCAGGATCTGGGAAAGAAACAAGTTCATGAACTCAAAAGTGATTGCAGAGCATCTATGTGCTGTAGGAAATAGTTAAGTTGGTTTGAAGCAAAGCCCTTCGTGGGCAGAAAAGCCTCCAGAGCTCCAGATGTCGCTGTGGTTCCGCGATGAGAGAGGGCGTGCGTCTCTGTGGTTATAAAGTTGGGGGTGGAGTGGCCGGGAGATGATGGCTGATGAAGAGGAAGAAGTCAAGCCGATCTTGCAGAAATTGCAGGTAGGGCCTTAGATTAAAATCTGTATGTGTTTTTGTTACTCCGAATGAAGCAGGGAGTCCAGTTTATGTAGTGCCCGCGAATTCTCCGGCACACACGCGAAGCTGCGTGCGTCTGTGCGGTTACTATAACAACCCTCGAGGGTGCAGCCGCAGCCGGCGAGGGAGCCTCCCAGTGTGTTGGAACCTCCTGCTGTCTACTTGACTGCGGTTAATTTCAGTCCTGTATGGAAGAGGATTTGCTGCTCCTAACTATTCATGTACATTTTTAGAGAGGACGTTGTTTTCTCGATTCATCCATAACGAATAGCATATACATGTGTATGGCAGATCTGCATGAACTATTATCACATGTTGTTTTGATCCCTACAAAAGCCATTTAACACCTTTCGCTTTGAATTTGGCAACAGTCACACTGATGACCTGCACTGCAAGTGTCCTGGTTACTCCCCTTAGGATTTCAGTTTTGATTTCTTTCAACATGTGTAGTTCCACTTTGGGGTCTGATGCAGAGGGGTCCAGACTCCACGTAGTCGACAGATGACTGTGCTTCTGAGTAAGACTAGGCTTTTGGGCTTGGTAGGAAGGCGTTAACTAATTGCTTGGCTCTTTGCCTTTAAGGACCCACCATTTTCCTTAAACCTCAGGAACTCAGTTCTTCGTTCTAAGACAGCCTGTAACTTAAATATTAGAACTATGACAGGCTTGTAACTTGCCTAAAGGTGTTTAACGCACAAATTTAAATATTGGTGAAAGTTCTTCGTTCTTGAGTAGATTAAAATAGTAACTAACACTTTTTAGTGTTCCAACTGATTTGGATTAACTTCATTTTATTCCCTAATTGTGACTGACTGAAATCAGAGAATCAATTCTGGTTCTATATTAGAAACATTATTGGTGTATATACGTTTGTATATGTACAGAAAAGAATCTGAAAAGGTATACAAATCAGTGGTTATCACTGAGGTTGTTTGGGGGAATTTTTTACTTTCTGTTTTTTACATGTATCTATTTGAATTTTAACAACTTGCATGTATTGATTTTGCCATGAGAAAATACGTTTCTAAAAACGTTCAGTCCAGGGGAAAACAAAACCAAACAATAAAACCAAACAAGTTCTTGAATGTTTGCTTTAACAACTAAAACCAATCAATAAGCCCCCCCTCTAAAACTCTTAATTTGCAGCCATGTTGATTTCAGGACGAAAGGAAATTGGTTGTAATTTTTTATGAGAATTGTCTTTTCCTAGGTTCATTTGTGGTAAATGTCCTAAGCAGCTTGGGAGAGGATACTTCGGTTATGTTGGGGTGGGGTCGGTGCAGGAATGGAATAAAGGAGTGAAGTAGAGAAGAGGAAAAGGATTAGATAATGGTGTTGCTGTTCATGGAGATGGTGGTAAACTTTGATTTCATTGTTATAGACATTTTAGTGTAAAAGGAATGTATAAAAGGATATTTCTCAAAGTGTGTTTTACAGTTTCGTTACAATCATCTGGGGTGCCTGTTAAAAATGTAGAATTTTGAGTTCTGCTAAACTGTTAAAATCAGAGTCTCTGCAGGCTGGGTCTTGGATATAATACAATAAAATTTGAAAAGCATTACTGCAGAGGGTGCTAGTCTGTTCTCTTCATTCTGGATAGGATTTTAAATTAAGTATAGCACATATGCATTTGTTAGAACAGGGGTAGTTAGTTAGTTAATTCAATCAAGTATAGTGAATGAGAGCCTATTATATCCCAAGTCCTGTTCTGGTGCTCAGGTGTAGCTTGAAACAAAACAGAATAAAGTCCTTTCCATCCTGGAGGTTACATTTCAATGATGGAGGCAGACAATAGACAATTAATGATAGGCCACATGATTTTAAATAAGTATGAAGAAAAATAAGAGTATGATTTAACAGTAGATGAGAGAAGGAAGATATTCATTTGGTTTGAGTAATTAGGGAAAACCTCTCTGGAATTGATATTTGATCTAAGATCTAAATGATGATGAGGAATAAGTTATGCAGAGATCTGGAGAAAGTGTCCAGGCATAAGGAAAAGCATGTGTACGGGCTTCCGGGTGGGCTGAGCTTGATGGGTTTGAGAAACTGCACGAAGGCCACTCTGGCTTGAGTATCGTAGGAGAGAGAGTGCTGAGAAGTGAAGTTTGTGTCAGGATGGGTGGTGGTAGGTCAGCTCATACAGTCTTCTAGGCCATGATAAGGACTTGAATTTTATTCTGTCTGCAATGGGAAACTATTTGAAGGTTTGTGATACGATGTACATTTTTTATAAGATCACTCCCACTACAGTGAGGAGAATGAGAGAGAACAGAAACAAGATGACTGGTTAAGAAGCTCTTGCATTCCGGGCAAGTAATGAAGCTGATGTAATCCAGGAGTGGTCATAGTGGGACGGAGTCAGGTGGATGAATTCAGGATATGTTGTGAAGACCGTTGATTAGACGCGATGGGAAGTGATTATATATTTCTGCTGCTATCTGTTCAGTTTCAGGAAAGAATAGGGTATCTCTTGTCCAAAATACTTAGGACTAGAAGTTTTTTGGATTTCAGATCTTTTTGCATTTTGGAGTATCTGCATATACATAATGAGATAACTTGGGGATGGGACCCAAATCTAAATATGAAACTTGGTGACTTATGCCTGTAGTTCTAGCATTTCGGAAGGCTGAGGTGGGGGGATTGCTTGAAATCAGGAGTTTGAGACCAGCCTGGGTAACCTACAAGGCTATCTCTCTTTTTTTTTTTTTTTTTTTTTTGAGACTCTGTTGCCAGGCTGGAGTGCAGTGGCGCGATCTCGGCTCACTGCAGCCTCTGCCTCCCAGATTCAAGCGATTCTCCTGCCTTAGCCTCCCAAGTAGGTGGGACTACAGGTGTGCGCCACCATGCCTGGCTAATTTTTGCATTTTTAGTAGAGACTGGGTTTCACCATGTTGACCGGGATGGTTTCGATCTCTTCGTGATCCGTCTGCCTCGGCCTACCAAAGTGCTGGGATTACAGGCGTGAACCACCGTGCCTGGTGACCCTGTCTTTTAAAAAAGAAAAAAAAAATGGTTTCATTTACACTTTATACACATAGGCTGAAAGTAATTTGCTTCAATATTTTTAATGATTTTGTGCCTGAAACAATGCTTTGACTGCATTTTGACTGTGTATCAGGTGTGGAATATTCTACTTGTGGTGTCAGCATTTCAAAAGTTTCGGATTTTGGAGGATTTCAGATTTTTGGATTAGGGATGCTTGACCTGTAGTGGAAAAGCTTTGCCTCATCTGACAGGAAGACTCAGAGGCATTTAAGAGGAAAGAGAATATTTACTTGTAAAAGATCCAAGACACCCAGAAGATGACTTGACAAAAAATTCGAACTAAACAAAACCACAATAAGCATTTAAAACAACAAAACGCTGCAAAAATACCACAGTTACCAAGTTCAAATTGGGATGTTTGTGGTGGAAAACAATGACTCTCTAACATGTTTGTTATATTCACAAAGGTTGTATTGTATTTCCAGATATCAGCATATGAAAAATCAGCGATAAAATGGTCTTAGTTGAGAAGTCCAACTTTAAGGGTAAATTTCAGAGTGTGACTCTTTGAGGACCAGGACCATATAGAATGATCTTACTAACTTTTGGTTTATCTTAAGTTGCAGTGTTCCCCTCCTCATGACTGTGGTATGTGAAGTGTTTAGTCATATTAGAAGCCCTGCTGGGGCAGGGAGAGAAAACGGTCATCACAGTACAGACACTGGCATGGGACAACATGGGACCATGAGAGCTGGCCTGGGGTACTGGCTGCTTTTCCTCATGATTTGTGGCATTTTCGTAAATCTGTCCACTTGCCTATTGTGCCATTCCTAGGTGAGATAAGAGAATTGGTCTTTCTAGACCAAGAGACGGTATGGCTAGCCAATTTCAAGTTTCCCTGTCCAGTGCTCTCTCCACTTAATGGTTCCATTGTCATACTTTTTAGGAACTAGTGGATCAGCTCTATTCATTTCGAGACTGCTATTTTGAGACACATAGTGTTGAGGATGCTGGGAGGAAGCAACAGGATGTGCGGAAGGAGATGGAGAAGACCCTACAGCAGATGGAAGAAGTAGTGGGTATGAGCCCTAGAGACTGTACAACCCCCCATCCTTCAGTGAAATGTGATCGACCTTTACTCCCTCCTGGTAGACTCTTTGGTATCCTATCTGTTACTGCTATAGGGTAGTACAATGTAATATTACCTCTCAGGGCCCCTGTGCAACTTTTCATTCCCTAAGCTACTTTTTCTAAAATTTGATTATAGCAAATGGCATGAAATGAAAGCGCATACTTACTGGAACTATTGCAGTAATTTGACTTTCTGCCTCTACTTTCTTTTACTTTCAAATCCACTCATATAACACGATGGCCATGGTCATCTTCCTAAATCATTACTTCATGCATTTAACCTGATCCTCTTGTCTGCCTTTTTGCTCAGGTATCTTTAAAGATTCCTGCTATTGACTCGCTGAAGTCTAAACCCCTTAACCTGGTATTTAAGTGTCCATTGTTTTACTCTGTTTTCTAACCTTATCGCTGACTAGTTACTTGTAGAGGAACTTTCTGTTTCATCCAGGTTGAACCATTTATTCTCCTTTGAACATGGCCACATGTACTTTTGATTCTGTGTCTTTGTTTATGTCATTTTCTAATCTGGAGGGTCTTTTCTTTCTCTCTCTCTTTTGTTTTAATGATAGCTATTTGTCCTGACTCCTCTTGACTTGTTAAAGCCCATTCATTGGGCTAATGCTGTATGCTCTTTTTCGTGGTTTTAATTTTCCATGTTTATGCTTTGTCTTCACCTAGATTATAAATCCCTCTAGGAAGATTAGCAACCGAGCTGATCCTTGTAGATAGGGGCCCAAAAAACAGATGGCAGAAGCTCTAGAAATAGTGCTTTCTTTGTTGCCCAATTAGCTAATATAGCACTCTGCTTATGGTGAGGTTTTAATAAATGGTTTGTTGATAAATATTTTCCTCAACTCTTTTTATTCCTAAAACTGACATGGAGTTATTTTTTGAGAGAAAGTGCCCTGGTCTTTAACTGTAAGATTGCTTGTTTTTTTCCCACTTTATCTTTTTTTCTTCCTCTTAGGTTCTGTCCAGGGCAAGGCGCAAGTTCTGATGCTAACTGGGAAAGCACTGAATGTGACTCCTGACTATAGCCCTAAGGCTGAGGAGCTTCTGTCAAAGGCTGTGAAGCTGGAGCCCAAGCTGGTGGAAGCCTGGAACCAGCTGGGTGAGGTGTACTGGAAAAAAGGGGATATTGCAGCTGCCCACACCTGCTTCTCAGGAGCCCTTACCCATGTGAGCTGCCCCCTATCCTTTTGGAAAGCACAGATGGGAAGGATGAATTTCTTTGGTTCTATGAGTTTCCCTAGGACATGAATACCAGAGTAGAACTGAAATTGAACTAGGACAGAATCAGGAGGGAGGAAAGGTCGGAGAGCAGACCTGAATGAGGAAAATAGAGGCAGGGTCCTGGGAAAGGAAGATGATGATGGGATCAGGTTCAGGGGGAGAAAGGAAGTGAAGAAAAGTTAGCAACTAAGCTGATCCTTGTAGATGGGGGTTGAAGATACAGATGGCAGCAAGAATTTAGATGAAAAAATTAAGCCTGGGTGTGGTAGCTTATACTTGTAATCCTAGCACTTTGAGAGGCTGAGGCAGGAGGATCACTGGACCTCAGGAGTTTGAGACCAGCCTAGGCAACATGGTGAGACCTTGTCTCTAAAAAATAATAATAATAATAATAGTAATAATAATAATAAAAATATACATATATATGCCAGATGTGGTGACTCATGCCTGTAATCCCAGCACTTTGGGAGGCCGAGGTGGGCAGATTGTTTGAGGTCACGAGTTTGAGACCAGCCTGGCCAACATGATGAAACCCCACCTCTACCAAATACACAAAAATTAGCTGGGCGTGGTTGCACGTGCCTGTAATCCCAGTTACTCAGGAGGCTGAGGCACAGGAATCACTTGAACCCAGGAGGTGGAGGTTGCTGTGAGCCAAGATCGTGCCACTGCACTCCATCCTGTGTGACAGAGTGAGACCCTATCTCAAAAAGAAAAATATGGCCAGGCGCGGTGGCTCACCCCCGTAATCCCAGCACTTTGGGAGGCTGAGGTGGGCAGATCACTTGGGGTCAGGAGTGCGAGACCAGCCTGGCCAACATGGTGAAACCCTGTCTCTACTAAAAATACCAAAATTAGCCGGGCGTGGTGGTCAATACCTGTAGTCCCAGCTACTTGGGAAGCTGAGACAGGAGAATGACTTGAACTCGGGAGGCAAAGGTTGCAGTGAGCTGAGATTGCGCCATTGCTCTTCAGCCTGGGCGACAGAGCAAGACTTCACACCAAACCAAACCAAACCAAACCAAACCAAAACAAAAAATTTGAAAAGGTAAAAAATTAGATTTAGAAGATTGAATTCAGAACACATCTGGGAAGGGGAGGTAGAATCGGGAAGATTGAGTATGTGCCTTTTCTATTTGCAGTGCAGGAACAAAGTCTCCTTACAAAACCTATCAATGGTGCTTCGCCAGCTGCGGACTGGCACTGAAGATGAACATTCTCACCATGTCATGGACAGTGTCCGACAGGCTAAGCTGGCTGTTCAGATGGATGTCCATGATGGCCGCTCCTGGTGTGAGTGCTCTCAAAAGATCTCCAACAGGGTTCTAGAGCAGATGTTTTCAATCAGAGCCACATTTGCAGTCCATCTTTTGAGTCTGCCTCTGAGGTTTAAGCCAGGGCATCTTTGTTTTGAAGACACACGAAAGACGTTTTGGTGAACTGCTTTTCTAGGAACTCTTCGATCTTTTGATCCTAGTTTTCACATAAGCAAGGCAGGGCTTTTGTACGGTCTGTTCAAATTTCAGTTTGGGGTCCTTGTTGCTCTATTGTAGGGGCATTTTGGGTATACTAAGTATCGTGTCATTCTTGATTTGGGTTTCATGTGGGACCTCTCAAATATACTTTCAAGAATGATCAAAATAAGTCATATCTTGAACTTGGACTCTGAGATAATTCGTCACTGTGTTTCTCTTTCAGATATCCTTGGGAATGCATATCTTTCCCTTTACTTCTCTACTGGCCAGAACCCAAAGATCTCCCAGCAAGCCCTCAGTGCCTATGCCCAAGCAGTAAGTACTTACGGTCACCAGGCCAGATGAATAGGCAACAACAGAAACAAAAGCGTTGTTCAGTCTTCTCTGTGGCCCTTTAGCAAGAATCACAGGCAGTGGCAGTGTTTGCTGGCATCTCATTTGTGTGATTTTGCAAAGATGTATCTGCAGAGATGACTGACTTCTTATAACGTGAGCGTGAGGAACCACTTGCATTGTGGTGGGTTGATACTGGATAGCTCCTTAACCTGTCTGGGTTTCTTACACACATACATAACCAAATCACAGAGCTGCCTCAACGTGTTCATCTTTCTTAATGAGAAGAAAGTTATTAAAATAATGCTTATTAATATTTTTGTACATTCATTTTTTTTTTTTTTTTGAGACGGAGTCTCGCTCTGTCGCCCGGGCTGGAGTGCAGTGGCCGGATCTCAGCTCACTGTAAGCTCCGCCTCCCAAGTTCACACCATTCTCCTGCCTCAGCCTCCTGAGTAGCTGGGACTACAGGCGCCCGCCACCTCACCCGGCTAGTTTTTTTGTATTTTTTAGTAGAGACGGGGTTTCACCGTGTTAGCCAGGACGGTCTCGATCTCCTGACCTCGTGATCCGCCCGTCTCAGCCTCCCAAAGTGCTGGGATTATAGGCTTGAGCCACCGCGCCTGGCCACATTCATTTTAAAGAACAATGAAAACTTATACTTCATTGTAAACTAAGTGCTATTCCCAAATTAACCGTTAGACAATATGGCTCTGGATTTCCCATGGGCTGAAAGAGAAAACAATGTGTAGCTTGTTCTGTGTCATTTCCTAGGAATTAAGTGAATTAGATTATTTAGGTTTTCAAGAAATTTATTTAGGTTTTCAAGCATTTTTATATTGCTAGGCATTTGCATAGGGCTTTCCCTCAGACTTTGTGCCTTTTTTCTCATTATTAGAATTGGCTTCTGACTTCACATTGGTCCTCTGAGCACTTTTTATTTAGCTCTCATATTTATCTTTCCTCTTTTGCTTCTCTTGATACAGAGAATTGCTTTTTAACTTATCATTACTTACTCTGCTCCATGTGGTAGAATAAAGAACACAGCTACTGTATGTTCATGTTTGCAATTCAGGGACTGCCCTTTTAAATTTGTTTTTCTCCCACTCCTGCCACTCTCCCCGCAACTCTAACTTTAAACTGCCTTTTTTCAATCATGGAAATTTTAGAGCAATTATATTTTACGCTGATTTCTTAATTTGGTGAATGTTTACATTTTAAAGAGTAGTATGGTATATTCCTTCAACATTTTATATTTGGCTTCTGCTAAACAGTCGCTTTTTAATCTTTTTTTTTTTTTTTTGAGAAGGAGTCTCACTCTGCTACCCAGGCTGGAGTGCAGTGGCACGATCTCGGCTCACTGCAACCTCCGTCTCCCAGGTTTAAGTGATTCTCCTGCCTCAGCCTCTTGAGTAGCTGGTATTACAGGCATGTGCCACCATGCCCAGCTAATTTTTGTATTTTTAGTAGAGACAGGGTTTCACCACGTTGGCCAGGATGGTCTCAATCTCTTGACCTCGTGATCTGCCCGCCTCGGCTTTCCAAAGTGCTGGGATTACAGGCGTGAGCCACTGTGCCCGGGCCACATATTTCATTTCTATAAAGATTTATTCTATCTTTGTAATGCTACATGGATAAATTACAATAATATTTTCAAGTCTTACACATACAAAAACACTTATATCCCTAAGGTTTTAGGGACTAAGATACCCACACTTGTTATACAGTAACTGCTTCTGTGGTATAGATTACATTTTGGGAAGGAAGAAACTTCCATTTCTCTAGGAAGAGGAGGTGTAGGACATGTTGGGCATGTCAGTCCTTAACATTGAGACAGGATCCCCTGCTTTTATCCCATTATAGGAGAAGGTTGACAGAAAAGCTTCTAGCAATCCTGACCTTCATTTGAACAGGGCGACGGTAAGACCTTTGGGATATAGTCATCTGAGGGTCAAATAAATAAGACACCTAGGTCTTAGCTTGTGAGGATAACGGAGTGTGCATAGGGACACAGACTGGGTACAGACTGCGAGAGGAAAGCCATGCTGTTCTATAAACAGCTAGCTCGGTTTGGCTTCAGTATCTGGTGTAGTCACTGGAGGGAAAGGAGAAGGGGCTGAGGAGGTAGAAGAATATGTAGACAATGGGGGCATCTTTTAGAAGACTTCTGAAATGTTAAGTAAATATAAAGGTCAAGTGACCCAATGTATACAACTTAACTATTTTAGAGTTTGGAAATTAGCTTCTTTGAAATGATTCCATCATTGGGATTGTGATCATCTTGACTAGGAAGAAGGATATAAGGCATTACCAGCTCTTGGGGCTGTTTATTGTAGCACGGGAAAATAACCAGGAGGGAAAACAGTTTATTTCTCTAGATTCCTGGTCCATGGTGCCATTATTCCCTCGGGATAGTTTGTTTGGATATACTTATAATTGGGATATACTTCTTGTACAGTTGCATAAATATGAAGAGAGTTATGGGGAGGCCCTGGAGGGCTTCTCTCGGGCTGCCGCCCTGGACCCTGCCTGGCCAGAGCCCCGGCAACGAGAGCAACAACTTCTGGAATTTCTGGATAGATTAACCAGCCTCCTTGAGAGTAAGGTAAACATGTCTAAAGGGCTGAATTCTACTTTATTTTTTTATTTTTTTTATTTTGCTCTGGGTCAATAAAATAAGAATAAATAGGTTTAGGAGGTCGTGACCCTATAGAAGTGGGTGGGAGGGAAGGATTAGAATCTCAAGGAAGGCGACTAGTTTCCAGCTTCTTACCTATTTCCTCTTCTTTGCAGGGAAAGGTGAAGACCAAAAAGCTGCAGAGCATGCTGGGAAGCTTGCGCCCAGCCCATCTAGGCCCTTGCAGTGATGGGCACTACCAGTCAGCCTCTGGGCAGAAAGTGACCCTGGAGCTCAAGCCACTGAGTACGCTTCAGCCTGGGGTGAACAGCGGTGCCGTCATCCTGGGAAAGGTGGTGTTTAGCCTTACCACAGAAGAGAAAGTCCCCTTGTGAGTTTCTCTTGGATTTCCCCCGTTTCACCCTTTTGAACTAATTGCTGTCACTTCCTGTTCTTTCCCTGGCGGTTGAAGAGATTGTCAGTGGTCACAGATTTGTGACTTCTGATTTCCTTCTGTGACTGTCCCATGGGCAGATATTGCCTAGGTGATGTTTAACAATCTTTTGATCAGAGGCTTTTGTAGATTCTGTCACTGCCCGTTTTTTATCCCTGAGTTTGGTGCTATGTGGATTCCTATATCCATAGTTGAAATTTGGCAGGACTTTTTTTTATAAGACAGAAACCTCAAAATTCTTCTGTCCCTTTGCATTTTCATGATCACAGAAGTTGAAAGAGGACAAATTCTTAGTCCTGTTTGTACTTAGGTGTACTTAGGCAGTTCTGAAAAGTGAGCTTTGAGTTATAATTTAAAGTCTGGTTGGGAGATTGTCTTAGATGTCATTCAACAAATATTTGTTGAGTGTGTAGTATATGTGTCATAGGGAGTGAGAAAAAAGAAATGTCAAGGTCCCAGGTACAGGTGCTGCTAGCAGCGGAAGAAATTAATTACGACTATTTATTTAGAAAATTTTTGGATCTTGAAAAGTTAGGGTTTAGTGAATGCCACCACTCCTTGGTCCTTCACTCACTTCCTAATCCCTGGTTGACTGGTTTTCCCTTTCTCTTTTCTACTGAAATTGTTATTTTCTTAGGATCACCATTGTCTTTCTAGGCACTGGATCCAGCAACTTCTATTGCATGGTTCCAAAGCATTCTGACTTATCTGTAACTATTGCCTTTCACAGTTGCCTTCTGTTCCATCTAAACAGAAATACTGACAATTCCCATTATATGGCCCAGCTTTCTCCATGGCGTTTTCTAGGGGTTTGTGTGTTTGATGAGTTGAAGGGCAAAAAGGTAGCTGAGAACAGTTTAGTTAACTAGAGCAAATCCTAGAGCTGAGAAGAATTAGAAAGGGATATAGACAAAGGTAGGTTTTAGAAGACCTTGAGAACAAACAGATATTTTGCCACTCCTTGGTTTCTCTTTTTCTGCCCAGCTTTTAAATCTTAGATTCCCAGGACTCTATTTTTGTTTTTTTCCTTTTTTTCTCTTTATACCAGGATGGCCTATAGTTGCCAACTTTGATCACTTGTCAGTGGTTGCCTGACATACTGTGTAGAAGGATTCCGAGGCTTTGACTGGATTCATCAGGAGAGTGCTTTGCTTGATTGCAGTGTTTCTTGTGAATTCAGGTGTGTCGCGTGATGGCATGAGTGTGATTCTTCTCCATCCTGTCGATAGGTCATCTTGCCTTGTGATGTCATGTAAACCCAAGGCTTTGGCAGCCTCCTATATGCTCACAGGTGTATCTCCAGCCCAAGCTTCATTTCCAAGTGTTGGATCCCTGTAACCAACTGTCTCTGGGTTCCAATAAGAAATCTCTAACTCAGTATTTCAGTATTACTCGCCTAAATCTTTCTCTGTAAACCTGCTTCTCCTCCCTGGATTCCTCATGAATGAATGGTATCACCTCTCAGTCACTTGATTAAGACTTTTGGAAGAATAGGCTTCTCCATTCTCCAAAAAGATTTGCCTTTTTTCTTCTATAGACTTGACTTCTCTGTGTTTACCACCTTAATTCACCCCTTTATCACTTCTCCACATAGGTCTCCCTGATTCTCTGGTTTCCTCCAGTGTTCCGCAGTGCTGCCAGAGAAATGTTTCTTAGATGTAAATCTGACCATTGCTACTTCTTCTTTAAGATTCCTTGCTGGTACTGTATGTAGCTTCTGGGATAAAGTGTGAACTACTTAGCTTAGCATACAAAGTCCTTCATGATTTGCTTCCTACTTCTCTTTCCATTATCTTCTGTCTCTTTCCCACCTGTGCCTTTTGTTTCAACCAGGGAACAATTTTGTTGGTTTTAGAACAGCTGTTTTCATGCCTCTGTGTCTTGCGTACAGTTACTCTGCCTGGATAATCTCTAGCTTCTTCTTGACGTGGCTAACATCCTCTTCTGCCTCTAACATTTTGTTTTAAAAATTTTCAAACATACAGCTAAGTTGAAAGAATTTTACATTGAACATTTGTGTTCTCAATCACTTATATTCTTCCATTAACATTTTATTTTACTTAGTTTATTACGTATCGGTCTGTTTATCCTGCTATCAGAGTAAATTGCAGAGATCAATATACTTTACATACTTTAGCATGCAATCATTAACTGAGTTCAGTATTTCAATTTTTTCTTTTTATGTAAAATTTACATACAATGAAATGTACAATTTTAAGTGTACATTTCATAGCTTTCAACAAATGGAAAATATCTGTATAACCCAAACAGAGATCATTACCACCATTCTGGGAAGTTCCCTCATGTTCCCTCCAAGGCAATCTCTGTTCCTGTCCCCTCAGAGGTTTTTAAAATTTTTACTGAGGATTAATTTTTCTATTTTAAACCAGCTAGTTTTTTACCCTTTAAGATTCACTTCGAGCATCACCTCTTCCAGGAAATCTTTCCTGCTTTCCAGTTTTGATTTAGATAGTTCTCCTCTGGGCTCCCACAGTCCAATCTGTGGCTTCACTGAATTCAGCACAAGGGAAAAGCTATTCTAGCACCCATCACACTTTACTGTGAGTGATGACTTCATTGTTTGACTCCTGCTAGACTATAGGTCATTTCATAGCTGATTGGTATCTTACTGCTAAACACAATGCTTGGCACATATGTAATGTTTGGTGAAAGTTTGTGGAATTAAACTACACAGACAGTGATGGTTAGAGGCTTTGGTTAAGAGCATGACAGTTGGCCGGGCGCGGTGGCTCACGCCTGTAATCCCAGCACTTTGGGAGGCCGAGACGGGCGGATCACGAGGTCAGGAGATTGAGACCATCCTGGCTAACACAGTGAAACCCCGTCTCTACTAAAAATACCAAAAAAAAAAAAAAAAAGAGAAAAAACTAGCTGGGTGTAGTGGCGGGAGCCTATAGTCCCAGCTACTGGGGAGGTTGAGGCAGGAGAATGGCGTGAACCCGGGAGGCGGAGCTTTCAGTGAGCCGAGATTGCGCCACTGCACTCCAGCCTGGGCAACTGAGCAAGACTCCATCTCAAAAAAAACAAAACAAAACAAAAAAAAGAGTATGATAGTTAAATTGATAGATCAAGAATAATGTTACAACTGTAACATTTTGGTCTAGTTCTTCATTAATGTTTGTTGAATGGCTTCAGTGTGCGTTGTCCTAAGTTCTTAGCAAAGTGACAGATTGATGAGTTTCAGAAAAATGAAGACTCAGATGTACAAAGTGGAGGATGGTACCTCTCATAGGTTTTCTGAGTAACTGAGAAAAAGCATTTGTTTATTTTGTTAGTATTTTATTTTTAAACTTTAATTAAATTAAATTTTATATTTTATTTTAATTACCTGTCACTGACTTTAAGTCCAGTATTTTGCTAGTATTTTTAAACCACTCTTTCTGCTCTTCTTTCCTACCTGCATACCTTTTTGTTGTCCTCTCTCCTAATCTATCTTTACCTGGCAGTACATTTGGCCTGGTAGATTCAGATGGACCTTGCTATGCAGTGATGGTGTACAATATAGTGCAGAGCTGGGGAGTGCTCATTGGAGACTCTGTAGCCATCCCTGAGCCTAACCTGCGTCTTCACCAAATTCAGCACAAAGGAAAGGTGAGCGATGGCGAGGATTCTCTTCCAACTCATAGGCTGTAAAAGTAGAACCAAGCTTATCTTTTTATAAAAGATATAGAAATAATTATATGTGAGTATGTGTGTAGGTTATGTGCATATATATTTGTGTGTATATGTTATATATATTGTTTTTTACTAAAAAGGTAAACTGGTAAGCAAAAAAATAAAAAAATGGAGTGAAATATTATCCCTCAGGTGTTATATTATCACTCAGATGTTACTACTTTTTAACTGTTACTGTTAACAGTTTGGTGTATATACCTGAAGTCTTTTTTCTTTTGATAAATATATACACATATATTTATATCTATATTTTAAATCGTGAGTGGGATATTATATGCAAATGTTAGTGAATGTTTCCTATGTTTTTATATATTTCACACATTGAGTAGACAGAGGGTGATGAAGATGGTAATGATAGTTAACATTTATTTAACACTTGAGTGCCAGACACTGTGCTAAGAGTTTTTATTGCCTGCCTTGCCCCATTCAATTCTTACAAAAACCTTATGAATGTAGATATTTAACCACTGTTTAACCATTTAGATCAGGGGTTGGCAAAGCCCATGGGCCAAATCTGGTTCACTGCCTGTTTTTATTAAGAATGGTTTTTAGGCTGGGCATGGTGGCTCATGCCTAAAATCCCAGCACTTCTCGAAGGCCGAGGTGGGAGGATCACTTGAGCCCAGGAGTTTAAGACCAACCTGGGCAACACATAGTGAGACCCTGTCTCTACAAAAAGATGTTTAAAAACTTAGCCAGGTATTGCAGCATATGCCTGTAGTCCCAGCTACTGAGGAGGTTGAAGTCAGAGAACCACTTTATCTCAGGAGTTTGAAGCTACAGTAAGCCATCATTGTCTCATTGCATGCCAGCCCGGGTGATAGAGAAAGTCTTTGCCAAAAAAAAAAAAAGAAAGAAAAAGAAAAAGAGAATGGTTTCTGTGTTCTTAAATGAAAAAATTGACAGAAGCGTAATATTTTGTGATGTGTGAAAATTACAGGAAATTCAGATTTCAGTGTCCACAAATAAAGCTTTATTGGAACACAGCCACACTCATTTGCTTACTATTGTCTGTGGCTGTTTTTGCACTGTGGTGTCAGAGGTGACTTGTTCTGTAACAGAGACCATTTGACCTACAAAGCCTAAAATATTTACTATCTGGCCCTTTACAGAAAGACTTTGATGACCTCAGATCTAGATTAGTACTTTTATAATAGAAAAAGAATTAGAAACACAGTGAGGATTTTTATATCTTTGCTTGTATCTATGATTATTTCCTTAAATGAATTTCTAATGCAGAATCCTGGGTCCAAAGGGTATGCAGAATTCGGATGCTTTTGATACATATTGCCAAATATTTCTTTGGAAAATTGTACTAGTTAGTTGTCACTACCAACAGGGATGTAAATAAGTGTTTCTCTAGTTTTTTTCTCAACTCTGGTTGGAAACTTTTGAAAAGTTGTTTTCTAATTTTACATGAAATATATAGTATGAATATTATTTTAATTTGTATTTCTTGTTTAAATTGCCATTTTTTTGTGTCACTTGTCGATATTTTTGTGAAGACTTAAAAAAATTGGTTTATGAGAACTTTTAAATTTACTTGGACTTAGAAGAGCCTGCCTCTCATTGCCATATTTTTTGGATGAAGATTATTTAACATGTTTTACAACTTAAAATACACTTGAACTGATAAAGTGAGCTGATATCCTTTTTGTGATTAGGAAAACGGCTATATTCTGTTACATATTCTATTTCCTCCTCTTGATATAAAAAAGAGAAGTAACTTTAATTTGTATTTGGTGGATTAAATTAGGACCTTATAAACATTTGGACTGAGATTTTCTCAGGATTCCCACTGGCTCTGGCTGGCTATGTGTGTCTAGTTAATTATCAGGAAACACCGTGGGAAAAGGCAGATTCTGTGCGAGTTGGTTGCATTCTTTGTTAGGCAGTGCCAGGAACTTGCCTTTTATGAATCAAAGAGCTGTCTTATTCTTGTAGTGGCACTGCATGACCTTACATGCTCCATGTTTTCCTTCTGAAGATTGAAAACTTTGGGAAAATTTCATCCCCTTTGTTAGCTCAGTTTTGTCTGATGTGAGATGAAAGTAGAGGGGGTATGCAATGGGGGAGGTGGTGCAGAAAGTTGCAAGTGGTGTATCCCCATGCTAGAGCTTTTTCCATCCTGGAATCTGTAATGAACCTTTGTCTATCTTTTCTAGGACTATTCCTTTTCCAGTGTTCGAGTGGAGACGCCCCTCCTGCTGGTGGTGAATGGGAAGCCTCAGGGATCCAGCAGCCAGGCTGTTGCTACAGTGGCATCGCGACCACAGTGTGAATGACCTTCTTTGACTTGTATGCTCAACAGGGACTGGAGGAGAGGGGACAAGGCCCTGTGCAGTTGGTCCAGCCACATCCAGTGATTCAGCAGGAATGGGAGGAATGTTTTAAATGAACTTTCCTTTTCCCTGCCTCTATTACACTTTGTATCTCTTCTCTCTCCTCTGTCCTCATCATGTTCCAGCTCTCTCCAGGGCCACCTACTCTTCTGGCATATCTCTCCTGTCTCTTCCACTGCTCTCTATGTTTTAAGCAAAGAGCATGGAATTGGTAGAAGTCTTGGGATCTTGCCATGGGACAGAGTCCCCAAGGTTCCTGTTGTTGCCTCCGTCCTAAGCCTCGTATGTATATATCAGTTCAGTATTTATTGCTAAAGGAGGGGGCTTGATTTTATAATGGCTTTGTTTTTAGCTATTTTTATTGTTATTTTTAAAATTTAGGTTCTTCCTCTTCTTTGGGGCTGGAACAGAATAAACTTGTTTGGAAAAAAAAAAATACCATGTAGTTTGGCCTGCTTTATTCTCCCTAGGCTTGTATTCTTGGTTTTAGGATCACTTCAATTTATGGGAGTAATAATCCCATTTTTTTCTTTATACAAAGTAGTTTATTTCTCTCCCAGTTAAAAGAATTCCGACAATAGACAGCCCAGGGCAGGAATGGCAACTCCACAAAGTTGCTAGAGACCGGCTTTCTTCCATTTTCCCATTCTGTCATTCTCTAGGGGTGGTCTTCACTGTGGTCCAAGATGACAGAACAATACTGTTCTAATAGTGTTACTAGGCTGAAGGATCAGAGAGAGTTAGATAGATATTCAGTTTCTTTAGAGTCTAGTGACATGTTTTATAACAGTTTATCATAATATCCTTGTGGTAAAATGGAGAAATGTGAGTGAGGATTAATAACCAATTGAATTGGCCAGGTACGGTGGCTCACGCCTGTAATCCCAGCACTTTGGGAGTCTGAGGTGGGTGGATCACGAGGTCAGGAGTTCAAGACCAGCCTGGCCAAGATGGTGAAACTCTGTCTCTACTAAAAATATAAAAATTAGCCAGCGTGGTGGCAGGCATCAGTAATCACAGCTACTGGGGAGGCTGAGGCAGAGAATTGCTTGAACCTGGGAGGTGGAGGTTGCAGTGAGCCAAGATCACGCCACTGCACCCCAGCCTGGGCGACAGAGCAAGACTCCATCTCAAACAACAATAAATAACTGAATGGCTATAATACATAAATGTATACAGATGAATTTAGAAGACTTCTAGTGAAATAACTCAGATCTTTGTTCTTGGTCCAGTACTGTTCAGTTCTTTATCAGTGCCTTGAATTGATGACTCATTAAATTTATAAAGAACGCAGAGGCCTCCTCAGAGAATGGATGATAGTAACCCATTGATGAGAGAAGTTTATCTGTCTATCTATCAGTCTATCTAAGAAGTCATAAAGGCTGAGTCTAATAAGATAAAATTTTCAGTCCATTCTTTTGGTTCAAAAAGGCTTTCTCAGGCATAGCTTTAACATCATGTATGAAAATTACTAAGAATTTTAGTAGATAAGCTAAAGTCAATATGAGTAACCAGTCTGATATAGTTTGCAAAAACACTATTCATGAACTGCACCAAAAAAACCTGTGGTAGCAAGAGACAGTTTTTATTACAAGTACTGTCTGTTATACCACATATGGAGTGTCAATTTAGTTTTGGGTGTCATTTTGAGGCCTACAGTCATAGAAGAGTGATTAGGAGCTTGTGGGGTATAAAAATATCTTGAGAAATGACTGAAACCAACTAGGGAAGATGGGGATAGTAGTGTGTGTAAGCATTTGAGGCAGTAGAGATGTGGGACCCAAGTACTGTTCCCCTTTTACTCAAGTTCTGAAATGAGTTGACATGTTCTGTGTAGGGCTAGAGAGTAGAAAAATGGCCAGTAAGTGGTAGCCAGAGAGAATCAGTGCATACAAACAAGTAAGTATGCAAAATTTGTACTTATGGTTTCAGGAGTAACTAGAATACCCATAAAATATCCACCTGCCTTAAAAACTAGAACATCATTGATAACTTAGAAGCCCTTGTGTACCTCTCCGTGATCTCATTTGTCTTCACAGCTATATAGTATCTCATTGTATGATTATACCATAATTTATTCACCCTATTGTTAAAGGATATTTGGGTTTCCAGTTTTTTGTTTTTTACTATCAAAGCACTACATTATTAATATTCTTGTAGATGTCTTGATATGTAAGTGCAACAGTTTCTTCTACAGCAATGGTTCTTGAAGAGTGGTTCCCAGAACAGCAGCATTAGCATCCCTTGGGACTTCTTTGAAATGCAAATTCTCAAGCCCCCTACCCAGACTTACTGAATTCAAAACTCTGGGGGAAGAGCCCAGCAATCTGTGTTTAGCAAACCCTCCAGGTGATTCTGATGCACACGAAAATTTGAGAACCACTGTTTAAGAGTATTGACATAGAATGGAATTGCTGGATCATAGAGTATATACATGTTCAGCTTTTTTGAGAAGCACTAAGCATTTCCAAAGTGTTTATATTATATAGTTTATGTCTCTACTATCAATAGATGAGTCACCCCAATGCTCCCCATCCTCTTCTGTGCTTGGTATTATCTTATGTTTTAGGTATTGCAAATACAGGAGATTTGAGCATTATTTCCTTGTGGCCTTAATTTGCATTTCTCTGATTATTAATGAGCTTGAGCATCTTTTCGTATATTTACAAGCCACTAATATTTTCTCTCGGTATAATGCCTATTTGTGTCTTTGCACACTTCTGTATTGGATGTCAAATTGATTTATATATTCCCTGTACTAATCTTTTGTCACTTTATGTGCTGTGTACAGTTTTATCTTGTTTTTTATTCTATTGGGTCTTTTGCTGAATGGAAGTTCTTAATTTCAGTGTCATTGAATTTATTCATCTTTTATGGTAATACGTTTTGTGTTTTAAGAGGTTCTTAGCTCTCCTAAAGTCATAAGGACATTTTCCCTCTCTTGTTTTATGAAGTTATATCATTTTGTCCTTTTCTTACAGTATGACTTTATGTTATGATGTACGGATATAATTTTTTTCATAATGAGTAAATAGCCCAGCACTTTTTATTAGAGAATCAATCCTTTCCCTAATGATCTTTAAGGCCCAGTCTGTCTTAAACCAACTTTCTATCTCTCTCTCTCTCTCTCCCTACCTTTCTATCCATCCATCCATCCATCCATCCATCCATCCATCCATCCATCCTTCCACCTACCCGACACACTGATCTTTAAAGCCCAGCCTGTCTTAACCAACTTTCTTGAGTTCTCTATTCTTTTTTTTTTTTTTTTTTTTTTGAGACAGAGTCTCACTCTGTCACCCAGGCTGGAGTGCAGTGGCGCAATCATAGCTCACTGTGCCTCGACCTCCCAGGCTCAAGCAATCCTCTCACCTCAGCCTCCCAAGTTGTTGGGACTACAGGCATGTGCCACTATCCCTGGCTAATTTTTTTAAAAGATATTTTTTGTAGAGATGGGATCTCACCATGTTGCTCAGGCTAGTTTGGAACTCCTGAACTCGAGTGATCCTCCAGACTCGGCCTCCCACAGTGTTGGGATTATAGGCATGAGCCACCATGCCTGGGCCTCTATTCTGATCTGTTCTGCTCTGTTTATTTTTATGCAAGTACTATATTGCCTTATCGTTTTATAAGAAGTCAGTATCTTTGGGAGGCCGAGGTAGGTGGATCACCTGAGGTCGGAAGTTTGAGAGCAGCCTGACCAACATGGAGAAACCCCGTCTCTACTAAAAATACAAAATTAGCCTGGTGTGGTGGTGCATGCCTGTAATCCCAGCTACTCAGGAGGCTGAGGTAGGAGAATTGTTTGAACCCAGGAGGCGGAGGTTGCAGTGAGCCGAGATCACACCATTGCACTCCAGCCTGGGCAACAAAGAGTGAAACTCTGTCTCAAAAAAAGAAAAAAAAAAAAGTCAGTATCTAATCAGACAAGTTTTTTTATGTTGTTCTTCACAAGTGTCCCATTTACACTTTAAAATCAGCTTGTAACTTTTCATGAAAAATTCCTGGGGACTTTAGTTGGGATTGCATTGAATTTATAGATCAGTTTAGGAAGAATAGGCATCCTTCATAATGTTGAGTCTTCTTACCATTTTCTTTATGTAAGTAAGTCTTCATTGTCTCTTTTTTTTTTTTTTTTGTGACTACGTAATTTTACTATTTCTGTAGTAGTTGCCAAATAGTGGTATTCTAATTTCGTTCTAATTTCTACATTTACTAACCGCAATCAGACCCATCAATTTTTTTAATCCCTGCTCTGCCCCTTGAGTTGTACAATCTTAGGGTGCAATAGGAAAGAAAAAAATGGCCAGTCCAGAATTTTGTTTCCAGTGAAAATGTGTATCTTTCCCTTGCTCTTTCTTTTCTCTCTTCCTATGATTTCCTTCCATCTGCTTTTGGCCACAGAAGTTGGCCTTGGTTGCTGGGTTACCTTAGTAGTAGGGTAAGAACACCCTAGAAGGCAGTGCAGTGAGGGAAAAGGTGAACAGAGATGTGGGTTAGTGGTGTATTAGCCAGCACCTAAGGATTCAAATAGGAAGTGGGGAAGTAGTCACATGGAGGCACGTTGGCAGCTAGCCAGCCAGCTAGCATCTGAGGACATGGAGGCATTAGGAGAATGTGAGATAGAGGCAGGGAACATTGGCGGTGTGATTATGAGATTATTTTGAAACACATAAGGTATAAAGTATGAACACTCTTGGTGTCTGCATAACATGTTCCATGAGAGGGAATCATATTCCTTGATAAAATTGCCAATATCAGCATGGCATCTGGAGTTGTCTAAGCTGAGCGTAGGACTTCTTGTGTAAAAATATGAGCTTTAGAAGTCTCCCACTGGCCAAATCTGGCACATAAGCTTGAAAATAAGTGATTGTAACAAAATGGAGCCCACTGGATAATATACTAAATGAGGAGTATTTTTGATACAAAGATAAATTTAAAAATAGATAAATGGAGGAGAAGGGAATACTCCTTCTTAGAGTAGATGTCAACTATAGGATGTCTAGAGCTGCCATTAGGCAATCATCGTAGTGTTAGATGGTTCAGACAGGAGTTACACAAAAAAGCTGGTTAGTGGAAATGTGATGAGGAACAGCTTACTGATATTTCCTTAGAATATCTCTTCACAAAATACTATTCAATATAAAATAAAAAGTGTCAATTAAAGCTGCATAGGGATGGCAGATGCCAACCAGACCAAGTCATTAATGGTTACATCACTAGGGTGGGAGGGATAGCAACTGCGATCCCTGGTGGGAGGCACTAAGGGCACAGTACCATTTCTGTATTCTTCCTGCTAAGGGAACGTCGCTGAATCTGGTCATGAAGAATCATCAGAAAGACCCAGTAGAGGATCATTCAATTTCATTTATAGGATATTGAGAGTGAGAAGTGTAAGGAATGATGAAGAACAGTTTGAGATTGGAGAAGAAGAAAAT